ATACCCCTCCCTAATATAAGTAAGGTAATCCCTCGAAACGTTTTAGAGATTTTGTGAATATCGCTGCTTACTACGATTATATGCCAATTTATCGAAAATTGTCGTTATTTCCCAGTTTAGTCCAAAAAATGGGCAATAGTGGATTCATTGACTTACAAATATTTGATTTAAATCATTTTAAGATAATAATAAGTATTTGTCGAAAAAGTGTAGTATGCACTCATTAATTTAAGCACTCGCTCGTGCCTAAATTAAATTCTTATTGATTTGACATTTTTAAAGCGTTTATAATCCAATTAAGCCTATTTTTCTAAAATATTTTAAACAAAATGCCACTTTCGGCTTGACTAAAGTGACATCAACTTTGTTATTTTAAATGGAACACCCCATATATTTTTACATTTTTAAATTCTACATAAAAGTTTGAGTAAAATCACTGTACCATGTCCTATACCTATAGTAAATAGTTTTGGGGTTATTAATTTTTTCCGTTATAATATGACAAATGCGCGTCAATCAAAAATAGCCTATAACTTTCTTGCTATTAGGTTTGCAGAAATGGGGGTGGCATTTTTGGAATCTTAAAACATTGTTTAAAAGATTCCATGTCAATTTCTTAACATATCGGGTGTTACATTTAAAATAAAAAAGTTGTTAACGTTTCAAGTTAGCCCAATTTGCCCTGGGGTTTCTCGGGTAATTTGTTAAAAAATGTTAAAGAATTGACATGGAATTTTTTAAACAATGTTTTAAGATTCCAAACATTTTACCCCCATATCCGTAAACCTAATAGCAACCATCTAAAAAACTATTCACTTTAGGTATAGGACCTGGTATAGTAATTTTACTCAGAATTTTATGTAGAATTTAAAAATATAAAAATATATGGGGCGATCTAAACTGCTCGTCATAAAAATCGACGCACCTAGTTTTTTGGAAAATATTTGAAAGCTCGTTATTGAAAAATTACTGAATCGATTTTGAAAATCTTTGGAAATTCTGAACAGCTGATTCTTTGACTCTTATGTCAAATTTTGGGAATACGATATTTTGCACATAGCATTATACTACAGGGTGTTAAACGAAGAGATGTATTTTTTCCGAAATTTCAAGTTATTCCCATTCATGAGGCAGTTGAGTTTGATAGTCGTAATACCCCTCCCTAATATAAGTAAGGTAATCCCTCGAAACGTTTTAGAGATTTTGTGAATATCGCGGCTTACTACGATTATATGCCAATTTATCGAAAATTGTCGTTATTTCCCAGTTTAGTCCAAAAAATGGGCAATAGTGGATTCATTGACTTAGGTCTACTTTTGAGAATAAGATATTGTGCACAATTATACTACAGGGTGTTAAAAAAAGGGATGTCTTTTTCCAAAATTTCAAATCCCCATTCACAGGGCAGTTGAGCTTGATAGTCGTAATACCCCTTCTTAATAACAGTTAGGTTATCCCTCGGGACGTTTTCGAGATTTTGTGGATATCTTGGCTAACTACGACTACGAAAATTTACTTTACTAGTCCAAAAAATGAGCAATAGTTGATTCTTTGACTCTTATGTCTAATTTTGGAAATACGATATTGTGTACATAGCATGATACTACAGGGTGTTAAAAAAGATGTTTTTTTCCAAAATTCCAAATCCCCATTCACAGGGCAGTTGAGCTAGTCCTAATACCCTAATCCTAATACCAGTTAGGTAATCCCTCGGGACGTTTTCAAGATTTTGTGGATATCTTGGCTAACTACGATGTCCCGAGGGATTACCTGTTATTATGAAGGGGTATTATGACTATCAGGCTCAACTGCCCTGTGAATGGTGATTTGGAATTTTGGAAAAAACATCTCTATTTTTAACACCCTGTTGTATAATGCTATGTGCACAATATCGTATTTCCAAAATTAGACGTAAGTCACTATTGCTCATTTTTGGACAACTGGGGAATAACGACAATTTTCGAAAAATTGGTATATAATCGTAGTTAGCCAAGATATCCACAAAATCTCGAAAATGTACCCAGGGATTACCTAACTGTTATTAGGAAGGTGTATTAGGACTATCAAGCTCAACTGCCCTGTGAATGGGGATTTGGAATTTTGGAAAAAAACATCTATTTTTTTAACACCCTGTAGTATAATGCTATGTGCACAATATTGTATTCCCAAAATTAGACATAAGAGTAAAAAAATCAACTATTGCTGATTTTTTGGACTAAAATAAATAACGTAAATTTTCGAAAAATTGCCGTACAATCGTGGTTAGCCAAGATATCCATTAAATCTTGAAAATTTCCCTAACTATTATTAGGGAGGAGTATTAGGACTATCAAGCTCAATTGCCCTGTGAATGGGGATTTGGAATTTTGGAAAAAAACATCTCTTTTTTTAACACCCTGTAGTATAATGCTATGTGCACAATATTTTATTCACAAATTTAGACGTAAGTCAAAGAATCCACTATTGCTAATTTTTTGGACCAAACTGGGAAATAACGACAATTTTCGATAAATTGGCATATAATCGTAGTAAGCCGCGATATTCACAAAATCTCGAAAACGTTTCGAGTGATTACCTTACTAATATTAGGGAGGGGTATTACGACTATCAAAATCAACTGCCTCATGAATGGGAATAACTTGAAATTTCGGAAAAAATACATCTCTTCGTTTAACACCCTGTAGTATAATGCTATGTGCAAAATATCGTATTCCCAAAATTTGACATAAGAGTCAAAGAATCAGCTATTCAGAATTTCCAAAGATTTTCAAAATCGATTTAGTAATTTTCCAATAACGAGCTTTCAAATATTTTCCAAAAAACTAGGTGCGTCGATTTTTATGACGAGCAGTTTATTTGAAATAACAAAGTTGATGTCACTTCCGGTCAAACCGGAAGTTGAATTTTGTTCAAAATATTTAAAAAAAAAATAGACTTAATGGATTATAAACGCTTTTAAATTTTAAATCTATATTTTTTCCGTTCTCCAAAACTTCCAATGGACTACGAATGTGAAACACCCTGTATATCAAGTGGTGTTTTTAGGTTGTGAATCACAACCTAAAAACACCACTTGTGATACCACTAGCAATGTATAATCGTCAAACTAAAAGTCCAAGATTTGTTTCCAACATATATAAGATAGGTAAATACAAATCTGTTGTTTTATTTAAAAAATCAAAAATAAAACCAGAAATATTTTTTACTTAAAAAAAATAAAATTGTTATTTTCTTTAAGTATAATTTTTGTATTATGTAAAAACATAAAATATTTGAAGAAAAAAATTATTTATTACAAACTAGAGAATTAAAAATCTGTTTAGGTTAAAATAATAAGAATGGCTGTGTAAAAAAATTAAATGACGTGATTTCGTGACGTTTTTTAACCTTTATTTTTAAAATCTTAAAATTTTTCATGGAAGGAAAATCGTGTTGTACTGTGTTATTGATGTAAATAGACCTAAAGAACTCATTATAGGTTATAACCTAACTAGGTATAAATGTAGCAACTAGTTGCTTTTGAATTTTTTCTGTATCATCCGTAGTACAAATTGGACAATTTTCAAATTCCAAATTATCATAAAAATGCCTCACGTAATTAATTTATGTCCCCTAAGTAAATTATAATAATAAATAATATCACAGTTGTATCACAATGAGATTACGTGTGTGTTTTCACTGTGAGGTCAGGATGCGATCAATAAGGTCTGTTCTTATAAGAGTCCGAAACTTTTAAAAATTATTAGAGGCCTGCACAAATAGGTTTTTGAAGGCTTAAAATCCTATTTTGCGCGGGTTTGATAATTTCTGGGAGTTTCGGACTCTATTAAGGTTCAATATGCTTGCATGCATGAGAACAAAATAGTATATTACACTACAAGGGCAGAAAGTGTGAGATTCCTGCAGGGCTCTCACACTTTTTGCCCGTGTAGTGTATACTATTTTTCTTACTACCTCGGCCGAAAATACAACCCGGCCGAAAATACAGGAAAAAATTAAATGTGTATATCGAAACATATTGATGCCTGCCCAAATTTTGAGGTTATATTATTGTCGTAATCAGAGTTGCATATGTCGAGCACACGACTAAAAAATTTTTACTCCGGCTATTATAGAGTGTGCGCCTATAGCTTGACCAATGCAAGAAACGTAAACTTTCTGCCGTGGAATCGGGGACGAAACAACGTATTTTCAGTCGAGGTAGTAAGAAAAAGAGATTATTTATCCTTTGATTACTAAGATATTTTATTAAATACAAAAAAATATATTCTTAAATTACAAATAAATATTAATATGAATTCAAAAATAACTTAAATAATTATACTAATATGTATATCTGGGCAGTATTTGTAACTTAAAAATACTTTATTATTTTGTGTGTACGCGCATTTGCTCGCAATTCCGCCATGGGCGCACGTGTTTTAAAATATTTTGAGCTCACAGTAAATTTACGAGTGAGAGTAAAATTCTCACGTGTAATTCCACTATAGACTTTATAATGTTATTTGGATTGTCATGTGAAAATACCTCCAGCGTGAACTAACTAGGCGCTCAATATGTAATCAGTTATAAAATCACGAAGTGATATCACGGTGCACTTACGTTTCGTATACCGCACCTATGACAATCATGTGCATTAGGGTGGAAATAAATATTTTGGTGAAAAAAAATTAATATTTTTTTAATTCCTTCCACTGCCCAAGAGCTATCCTAAATATAAAAATCATAAAATTCAGACGAGGGCAGAAAACGGTTAAACAATTTTTTTTTGAGCCAAGATATTAAATAACTTTTCCAAAATTGGGCACATTGATTTTCAAAAAAAATAAGCAAAATGGGGCCTCCCGGTTAGTTATGCTCTAAAAAAAATCCCAAATTTCTATATCGTTAAACAACTAAAACCCCCCGCCCATCGAACCTATCCCTTGTCTATGGTTGAACAATATACTATTTTGCATTCGATTTTTTGTGTTTATTTTATAATGTATATGTTATTTCAGAACATGCTGAGTTTTTGCACTGCAAAGGAAAAAAGTTTGTGGATTTTGAGGAAGTCAGGAGGGAGATCGAAGGTGAAACTGACAGAGTCACAGGAAGTAATAAAGGCATTTCCAATGTGCCAATTAACCTGAGAGTGTATTCGCCAAATGGTAAATATTTTTTATCAATAAATATATTTGTGCTCACTAACCTCATTATGACAAAAACAATATTTCAAATCCAATAGAAACATTTCTTCAATAGGTACCTTGGAAAAAATATTATTTATATAAAAATAATTTTCAAAGAGTACAATATTAATTAAATGTAATAATTGTATTTAAATTCTTTAACAATTTATTTAATTTTTAAAGTCCTAGTATTTTTAAATCTTGTTTATAAAACTTAAGCTACTTTAGACACAATTTTTTTCTGTTAAATTCACCCAGTTTAAATCATTAAATCATTTTGTTAAAAATATTGTTTTAATGCTATAATATAATATAATAAATTACTTTTACTAATGATAGTGTATTTTTTAGTACTGAATTTGACATTAATTGATTTACCTGGTCTAACGAAGGTGCCAATCGGCGACCAGCCTATAGACATTGAGGCTCAAATAAAAGCTATGATTATGCAGTTTATTAAACGAGAATCCTGCCTTATTTTGGCAGTAACTCCTGCAAACTCAGATTTAGCCAATTCTGATGCTTTAAAATTGGCCAAAGAAGTTGATCCTCAAGGTAAGTGAAATCATATTTTTTGAGCTAAAAAAGGAAAAGTTGGGTTTTTGTCTATAATCATAAAATTGAAAAATAAAAATAATAAAAGTTGGGTTTTTGTCTATAATCATAAAATTGAAAAAGAAAACTGATAAGTTATCTACCTGCTTGCTCAGCATAATGATCCTACTTAAAAGTTTAAACCTAATTTTTTTTATTTCAGGACAAAAATACTTTTGTGTTGATAGTTCAGTGGATATCCTAATTTATTTAAAACTAAACCATAAACAAAGTGCAGAAATCAAATAGACAAGTAAGATTTTTATTAAAACCTGAAAACAAGAGAGAAACGTCCTTTCAAAGTTTAATTCAATTTTTAGGCCGCTTCTGGCTAGTGTTGCCAAAAAACAAAAATAGCAATTCAACAATGCGATGTTCTTCCTTTAAGGGCGCGCCTACATAAATTGTTTGAAGTTATCCCCGCGCGTCGAAGCCATGCTTCTGTAACTGCTCGTAGTAGCGATAAGGGTCTTCCCGTGAATTATTTGAGATGTATTTTCGATTCGTGCTATTAATTCTTTACGAGTATCCACCGGGTTTTGGAACACTCAACTTTTCATCCACCCTACAAGAAAAAAACTAAGTATTTAGATCCAGTGATCTTGGAGACCACGTGAGGTGTCCTTCACGACCTATCTATCCACTGGTTAGAAAACTGTTTATTCTGAAATTTTTCAACTTTATGCCTACATGTTACATATTACATGTTCAGGTACATCTTTCAGCAAAATATATCTAGGGTGCCTCGGTCTCCTGCGTGTTCTCCACAAATCGTGGACCACAATGCTCCTGTAAACTACCAGTTTTCCTAGCCCCTTAAATAGCATTCAAAACTGCCTGAGGGCACGAAATAATTTGGGTAGGGAAACGATTGGTGTACAATCTCGATGAACCTGCGACATTTTGACGACACTTCGGAACATGTCCACTAGTTCCTTATTGTTATAATTATGAGACATTCATTGTTTTTTGGGATATGTATGTACAAGTTTGTTGACAAATTTTTGGCAACAATAGCCAGGACCAGCCTAAAAATTGTATCAAACTTTAAAATGCTGTTTTTCTTTTATTTTTGAGTTTTGATAAAAAATTTACTTGAATTTGTTTGTCCATTAAATTTAATAAACGTCAACTTAAATCTTACTGTAGAGTATAGTATTTTTTAATAAAGTATAACAACACACTTATATAAAGCTATAAAATTAAGATGGGTTAATCAAGATTTATCCGAAAAAATAATATATTTCATAAAAAAGTTAGCTTTTGTAGCCAGGAGAATGTCTTGTTTATATTTAATAAAATATTTGATTTTAATATTCATGTTAAAAAAACATACACATATAATATATAATTTTTTTCAAATATTGAAATTTGAAGTTGATTAAACCAAAATACAAACATTCCTGTTTTGCCTTGCCAATGAAAAGATTAATTTTCTAAGAAATGATGCCATTACGAAATGTGACTTTTACATAGTGGTTGTAGAAAAAAGTATTTTTTATATAGGTTTGTATAATATACAATAAACAATGTATATATCCATACCTATTATAATATAATATATATATAATATGCCTACTCTAGTTTTATCACTCAGTATATTTTAGTTATTTATACTTATAATAGTATATTATTTGTATAGAATTCTTTTTATTGAATATATTTTTAAGAAATTTTATTTGATTTTTTAATAAACGTTTTTAATTTTTACTATGGAGGAAATAATGTCACCATAACTACTTCGTTGATTTTTTAAATTCTGTCAGCTGGCTTGGGAGGGCTCTCTTATTTATTATTTACAACATTATCATGGAAACTGGTTGTATTACTCTTCCTTGTATGCGCATGGCATGCCCTTTTCCTGGTTTCAGATTTGAAATAATTCCAGATAGTCTAGATTCTCGATATTTTATTTCCCTAATTCCCAAAAGTCGAGACCTTTAAAATTTCCTTGGACAGAAACCCTATCTGCAACCCATGGCTATTTAATGTTTTGGATAAAAAGAAACAATTAAAAAATATCCAATAACTGCTATACATTAGGGTGAGCCAAAAAAACTAACCTATCGGATTTATGGGTTAAAATGAACCTACATACCGAGCAAAAAATTTCCCTGCAAGGCAAAATTTTTTGCTCAATTTTAAAAGGTGTCGGTGAGCATTTTAAGTTTTCCATTGAAATAACACGTAAAAAAATCTTTTTTCATTAAAAAGACTATAACTTTTGAACCGTTTAAGATAAAATTTTTTACGTCGCGGATTCTTGTAGAGCATAAAATTTCCCAAAGAATCCATACCAGGATTATTTTTTTTAATTTAAAAATTCGTATGTTTGAAAGCTTTGAAAAGTGTAAAAAATCACTAAAACTGCAGTTTTGGCACACCCTACTATACATATATAAATAAGTTATAACATAATTTTATAATTAACAGATGTCGTGGAAAGTTTTTGAAACCAATAATACGTCTAGTGGTTAATTTTTAAAGTTTTTAATATACAAAAGTTATTTACTGTACCTATGAAAACTTAAAAATCTGTATTAGTACCACTACAAAAGCAAACTTAAAAGAGGATGCGGATACTTTTTCTTCATTTGGGTGCATTTAGAATAGAAAAATCATAAAATGAACCCAAGGACAACAAAAATATTTTGTTTTGTCAAGTTTTGTAGTAAACCATGTTCTTATTTAAGGTATTCGTACCATTGGTGTAATAACTAAGTTGGATTTGATGGATGAAGGTACAGATGCACGGGATATATTAGAAAATAAATTATTGCCTTTAAGAAGGGGTTACATTGGTGTTGTAAACCGTTCTCAAAAAGATATTGAAGGAAAAAAAGACATAAATGCTGCCCTAGCTGCTGAAAGAAAATTTTTTATTAGGTAATTTACATTTTTGTTTATTCTATTATTGGCTAGTGGTTTGATTAAAAATAGATTAAAATAATGAATTTACCAACTGTATTCAATATTTTTTAGCCATACTTCCTATCGACACTTAGCAGACAGATTGGGAACACCTTATCTACAGAGAGTATTAAACCAGCAACTTACCAACCATATCAGGGACACGTTGCCAGGCTTGAGGGACAAATTACAAAAGCAACTATTAACACTGGAGAAGGATGTTGAACAATTTAAATATTTTAGACCAGATGATCCCTCTATAAAAACGAAAGCAATGTTGCAGTAAGTTAGCGAAAATATTTGTGCTATTGGTTTTAAACCTCCTATTTTATTCAAGAATGATTCAACAGCTGCAAACCGATTTCGAAAGAACCATCGAAGGTTCCGGTTCTGCGCAGATTAACACGATGGAATTATCTGGTGGTGCCAAAATTAACAGGTTGTTCCATGAACGTTTCCCATTTGAAATTGTTAAAATGGAATTTGATGAAAAAGAATTACGCAGAGAAATCGCATTTGCTATTCGAAATATACATGGTATTAGGGTAAGTAATTCCAGTGTTTCTTTATTAACAGGTTGACCGCCATCAGAAATACTTGTTTAGCATATTGGCACACATAGCAGTCATTATTTGTTTTATCATAATATGTTTAATATAATAATAACTAGTTCTTAAAAAAATAATTTTATCCGCCTTGTACTTTTTAGGTTGGTTTGTTTACTCCCGATATGGCATTTGAAGCCATCGTGAAAAAGCAAATATTTAGGCTTAAGGAACCCTCCTTAAAATGTGTAGACCTGGTTGTGAATGAATTATCCAATGTGGTCCGTTTCTGTACAGACAAGGTATTTGTTTTTAATAAAAATTGTAATTTTGATTAATTAATATGTTTTGTGTTTTAGATGAATAGATATCCAAGGTTAAGGGAAGAAGCTGAACGAATCATTACCACTCACATCCGCCAAAGGGAACAGTACTGTAAAGAGCAGTTATGTTTGCTGATTGATTGTGAATTGGCATATATGAATACGAATCATGAAGATTTTATCGGATTTGCCAAGTAAGTTCAAAATGTTTAATATAGATAATACTATGCAATTAATTGGTAACTGTGATGCTGTCAACATCATGAAGCTGCCCTGACAAATTGGGCCTGTTAAAAAATTACCAGAACCAAAATAAGTTTTAATATATTCCATTTTAAAACTATTGAAAAGTACTTCAAATATGTGCTATTAATAAACTTCGTAAATTTTAATGTTCAATGACTATGCAAAAAAATTCAAGGTTTTATGGGTAGCTCAGGCGGGCTTGAGTACAACAACGCGCACGAAATGTTCTACTTATAAAAGTTTTATAATAAAACCTTCGTGATTAGTTTTGTTTAGTAAAGAGCAGGGTTGCCAACCTTACTAGAATTATAGTATTTCTACTATAATTTTATGTCGGTGTACTATGTACTATAGCAAAGTATTATAGTACGTTAAAATACTTAAATACTTTGAATAATAGTATTACTTAAACAAATCTATAATTTTTAAAAAAGAAAACTGTAGAATTTTTGAAATTTGAAAATTTGTATTTTTGCATAAGCAAAACTAGCCACATGAAATACCGTAGTACGCATTAGCGCGGCGCGTGCTCTCTTATTTAACTGTTATTTTTATCATAGAAAAAGATTTGTATAGGTTATAAGTGTAAATACAGTTTACCCACAGAATACATTTTCAATTGCATACAAAGTTTGTAAACTTATCAGTTATTGTCACAACAAACGTTTTGGGAAAATAGATAATAATAATATATGTAAATAATAATAATAATATAATAAAAAAGCTGTCTTTATTAAAATTCTAACTGCTAGTAGCCTATTGGTAAAAAAGGGGAAAAAATGTGGGCTCCTGCTTCTCAAAAACTTATACGTAATTTGTACTATAATTTTTCTAAAAAATACTATAATTAAATTGAGATAATACTATAATGTGCATCTCAAGAGTAGGCAACCCTGGTAAAGAGTATTACTCGTACTTAGGAGGCTCCCTGTACCAGAATACTTTTTTATTTTTTTCTCAAAAATACTTCACTTTAGCAAATTGTTGCAGATAATATAATATGTATGTAATTAAATAATAATATTAAGAAGTTGCCAAATATGAAAACGCTCTGTTGAGTGATTGTTAGCCAGGGACCCTGACTCAGGGTATTAAATAAATAAATTAAAATGTTTAATAAAAAACTTTCTCTTCTCTACATAGATTAACTGACAAAACAACAGTGTATACTGATCGGACAAGTAGCGGGGCTGCCGATCAGCTCGCACTGGGTGTTGGCCGCGTCGCCTTTAACGCCGAAATACGAGCCGCTCCAGTATAAAGGTCATATATTTTACAAGGGCAGATCTTTACCTTTCTTTCGGACTAAATTAAAATAATATAAAACTGTCGAAGTTGGACAAAAAATTGTTTAAAAATATTCGTATTTTTTATACCTAGATAATTAATCAATGATCAATGATATGTATCCAATATTTTGATATTTATTTAAATATCAGATATTTAATGTCCTGATATTTTTGAATTACGTAATTTTATTATTTTTAGTGTGTGAATATTATTTTTTAAATTATTAATTTATTTTTTAGTTTTTAATCTTAAAATTTAGTTAGTCTGTTAGTTACATGGGTCATTTTCAAGAAACACGCGCTTTCAGGAAAATGAAGATCAAATTTTTTTTTTTGCTTAAATTGACTTTTGGTTGGATTTTTATAATTTAGAGTTTTGTTTACTTACATTTAAGACAGGCAGTGCACTTTTTAATTTTTTTTAAGTTTTTTTCAGAAAAATGTGTTTAGCTAGCTTTATATATCTCCACTGTGTTACCAATTTAAAATTCAAAATTTAATTCAATAAAAAAAGTTGTTATAAAAATAATTTGAAATAAAATGTACTTAGTTCACAAACTTTTGACTCCAATTTTTTATTTTATTTTTGATTAAAATTTTTTTTAAACATGTATGTTTGTTAAGTTACTTTTTAAAAGAAACTAATTTATAAACACGTATTACCAAGTGATAAAAATCATTTTAAGTATTATATATATAAAAACTAAAAAAGTAACGAAATATACATTGGTATCACAAAGGACTTAATCAGATAACGTAAAAAAGAAACTATATAGGGTGGTGCGATTTTAGAGTAATGCATAAACAAAATCCCTTGTAGTGGTGCTCACTTGCAGAATAACAATTTCTAAATTGTAGACACCCTTTTTCCTTGACTATAAGCTGGTGAAGGTCCCTTTTAGTACTTGTATATTGCGTGGAATTTTCCCTTGGATGTAATCTATATCATGAGTTGTAATCACAAATAATTTTAAACTGGTTTATCATAAACTACTTTTAATAAAAGCGACGGTAAATATCCACTTTGTTGTCGAAAAATTCTATTGCATTACCCTAAATTCAATTGCGTTAACATAAGGTAACATAATGGACTCGGTAACGCAGTGGAAAAAGTTTTGTGAAACCATATTTAAAAAATAATAATAAGACATTACAGTCATTAATTACTCTCAATAAGCTTTAGTGCCCTAAAATAAACATAAACATGAAAAATAGTATTTTTTCTTACCTTATTTTTATTATTTTTTTGAGTAACTTAGCGGACAAACAATTATTACATTCGCGTTACCTGCACCTGTTTCAACCGATATCTTCTTCCTGATTGAATAAATAAATTCAGCTGGGTAATGTGTACGTCCGAACATCATTTGTTGATCACGTGAGTGCCAAAAAAGTTGCCATATATATGTTTTTTTTTAATATTCTATCGGTAACGCGACGGACGTAACGCAACGGAAAAAATGTCTGGGACATGAGTCAAATTTAAAAAAAGTAGATTAAAATTAATTATTTTATATATAAATTGTTTACTGTATTAACTAATGATGTTATGGATTGCTATAAAGCACCACAAAGTTCTGGTTATTCAATATTAAAAAAAACATGTATGTAAGTTTTATAAAACGCTAATGGGACATGCGAAAATGTGTGTTTCAAAATTTAAAAAAAATTATTCTGAAATAACTAAACAAACATTTTCTGAAAGAGTTTACTAAGGGCTTGTTAGGCTTTCACTTGGTTTTTAAATCAATAAGATCCGATAATTTTTAACAAAGTTATTGGAATTCAAACTTACAGACAGCGGAAGGCGGGTGTTTTTTGAAAACGACCATATTAAAATTAGATTGACGTCACGTATACTGCTCTAGAAACCCTTTCATTTGATACCCACGGAGGTTGTAAATAAATCGGGGGGCGGTCGTCATATTGGATTTAGTATGACGCCACTTACCTTATCGTTTTCAACTAACTAACGACGTTTAAAATTAAATCTATTATTTTAAACCTAAGGGGCACTATACTAGATTTTATTGTCACCAGCACCAAATGTGTGCAAAATTTGTATCGTCAAAAAACGTCAATAAATAATACCTATTGATTAAAATTATTTTGTACTTAGCGCTCAAAATCAGTCAGAAAACGCAATGAAAACGAGCTCACGAGGCACTTTGGGTAATCAGGTGATTCGAAAAGGTTACATGTGCATTCATAATTTGGGCATAATGAAAGGGGGCTCCAGAGATTATTGGTTTGTTCTAACCTCAGAAAACATATCTTGGTTCAAAGATGAAGAAGAGCGCGAAAAGAAATACATGTTACCGCTGGACGGTCTCAAGTTAAGGGATATTGAACAAGGATTTATGTCAAGAAGGCATATGTTTGCGCTTTTTAATCCAGATGGAAGAAATGTATATAAGGTATGTTTACAATTTTATTTTACGCTGATATTTAACTAGAAATATTAGTATATTGCACGACTAGTAGGAGAAAGAAAAGATTTCTCGAGCGTGAAGTTAGCTGCACAAGCGTAGCGAGGGCGGTAACACGCGAGTGGAGTTTCTTCTTTTGACGAATAGTCAGTCCTACATAATATCTTATTTAACTCCCGCAAAAAATATATGTCCCAAAAGTCAACGATATCCTTTGGAGGAATGATGGACCAACTCATGACCAACCAGAAAATCAAAACATGACCTTAGTAAAAAATCGTTAGTTTTTGAGATATAGTCATTTTTATGAATTTTGTAAAACTTGACACCTTATATCAGTTTTTCGAGTGCCACAGCTATAAAATTCCATATTCTTAGATTATATTTTATGTTGTGCAATGCCTGCTATTGATTACAGTTCAAAATAAAACTAATAGTAGTTTTTTACCTTTTGAAAACAAACATTTTTGCCCGATTTTATAAGTTTTTTTTATTAGCTAACTTCGACCGTTCAGACTGTAAAAAAATGTCACGCAAACTTGGCAAGTATTTTAAAAATTGCTAATTTAGTGTAATATGCCATGTTATACTTTAAAGAAAAAGATATTGCTGTTTTACTGCAAAACGAGTTTATTGTTAAATTATTTCAATATTTAGGAATTTAAACAAAAACTATTCTTTAATGAAAATAACAGATATTTAATTAAAAACAAACGAATCACAAATAAAAATTAAAGAATAAATAAACCTGATCCAAATAATTTCTTACTTCCCGTGCGTAATGAGCTGGACAACCATCATGTTGAAGCCACATTGCTCTGCGTGTGGCGACAGGCACATCATCCAAGAAAATATTGTAATTGCAATACCAAATTTATTTTTATTTACAACCACAATATTGTTTGTTCTTTCTTAACTTAAATGTAGGGTGACACCTTTAAACAAAAAATATTGTTATTTCAACACAAAATTTAATTTTAATAACAATTACAATATTTTTTGTTCTTTATTATCAAAACTCCTTTATCCACTTGCCCGCGCTTGCATTCGACTTGGTGGCAGGCATTTTAAACACATTCTTTAATTTTTATTTGTGATTCGTTTGTTTTTAATTTTCATTAAAGAAGTGTTTTTGTTTAAATTTCGAAATATTGAAATAATTTAACAATAAACTCGTTTTGCAGTAAAACAGCAATATCTTTTTCTTTAAAGTATAACATGGCATATTACACTAAATTATCAATTTTTAAAATACTTGCCAAGTTTTCGTGACATATTTTTTTACAGTCTGAACGGTCGAAGTTGGCTAAAAAAAAAACTTATAAAATCGGGCAAAAATGTTTGTTTTCAAAAGGAAAAAAACTACTATTAGTTTTATTTTGAACTGTAATAATAGCAGGCATTTTTAGGATTGCACAACAAAATTCATAAAAATGACTATATCTCAAAAACTAACGATTTTTTTATTTGATTTTCTGGTTTGTCATGAGTTGGTCCATCATTCCTCCAAAGGATATCGTTGACTTTTGGGACACCCTGTATAACAGTGTACACATCAATTGTAAAAACGAAACAATTATGGCGCAAGGAATTTAAAGCCAATTTTATTTGATATTTTACATCTATTAGATTGAAGAGGTAAGAAGCAAAAGGGTACAAGTGCATTTTAGCAGTTTAATGCACACAACAATGAAACAAGTATCCAGATTTTTGTATATAGCAAAAACTTTAAAAGTTAATATCTCTACTTCTCTTTTTTGCCCTTGTACCCTTTTTGTTCTTACCCCTTTAATTATAATTTAAATTAAAGCTAACTTTAGCCCATGGGCGAAATGCTCCTTTGCCCAAGGGTTGAAGTTAAGAAATGAACAAATTGGGAATTCATTATTTCTTTCACCATCAAAGTTAGATATTTCTTGTAGCAAAATTAATTTTCGTATTGTTTTCAGGATTATAAACAACTTGAATTAAGTTGTGAGACATTAGATGATGTGGACTCCTGGAAAGCTTCATTTTTAAGGGCCGGGGTATATCCAGAAAAGCAAACAGAACAACTTAATGGAGAAGAGGTAAAATATTTTTTAAATTAACTAAAAGAATATGGTTTATATATTTATATAGTTAAAAACTATCCTTGATTATATCCTAAATATTTTTCAATTAATTATGACAATATATTAATATTAAAATTAATAAGGTTTTTGTAAGATTTTGATATTTATTTGTTTTATACATTATGTTCCAGAAAAGGAGGGCAAGTATATCATATTTCTAAAATGGTCAGATATAGTGTGCCTTACTTTTTATTAACTAATTAAATGCATCACCTAAAAATAATTAAATAAAATATATTCATTATACATTGACTCCCTCAGAAAAACAATTTTAAAGTTTGTAAATCAGGTTGGCTGCATGAGTATATAATATATTATGTTATACACTTTGTTTGTATAATAGGATTTATTGTTATTTTAAAAATGTATACTCTATACATTAATTAAATTAATTAATCTTTAGGTGATGCAAATGGTGCAGTGCGGTTTTTTATGTAATATTAAAACTTTGATAGTGTGGTCTGGAAACTAGCAATTTTTAACTTGATTTATTAAAATAATAAGCTAAAAAAATTAAATAATTCGCAATTTTTTAATAATACAGCAGCATTTAGCTAAGGATTCTATTTAAGTAAATTTACTAAAAGTCGACCAAATTTGCTAAATTTATTCATACAAAAAATACTTTCGTGCCCAAAAATACTTAATGTTAATGAAATTTTATTCCGCATTTCATTCTAACATGATAACATGATTAACATTTAATCCCTTTTTGTTTTATTTTTATAATTATTTGAATGCAACAAAAATTATACTGGCATTAAAATTGTTGTATTAATTTCGCCTTACAGCATAAAAATTTAACAGCTTTTAATGGGGATAATTTAATTAATATAATAAAATTTATTATAAAATAAATCAAGCTTAATATTAGCTTAAGCTATGCTGATGGATTAACAAATTAAAATGACGTTTTTACAATAATAATTCTCCGTGGACTATTTTTGTGGTTAAAAGTCTGAATGGAACGGATCGCGATATTTTGGGTCTCAACTTGTTGGATCGTTTTCAAATTTTGAAATTGGCGATGCCAGCGAACGTTCATTTATTAACCATAACCATTATACTTTTTAAATTTCGTTAAAAATATTCGAAATATCCTCGGAAATATCCTGTATCTAGGAAAAAAGCAATATAGATAGATGATTGACAGTATCCTGAATACTTTATTCGTTCCATCCATAAAACTAAAATTACTATAAGTATTAAATTTAAAAACATTATTAACAAATGTGTTGTTTGGCGTTGCTTCAGGGAGATAACTACCAGGTTAGTAAATCTAACACACAAGACATGGAACAACACTATTGTAGTTTTATTGAATTAACATGATAGCATTAAAATTTTAATTTTATTTTTAATGCACTTTTTAATATTGCGCCGTTAATGATATTGCAATACTTATCTAAACATACTAACCAGAAAAAGGAATTTGGGAGAATAATTTGCTACAGATTTAATTGACCTTTTTGTTTGTGGTACATTTTATTAATTTATTACTTAAACATACAAATTTCTGAGAACTGAAATGTCCACTGCTTTGATACGAGTAGCATTGCGGGACATTTCGGGATTATCCCGAATTTCAGAATCCCGAATTTTGAGATTGGAAACCCTAGCTAGCAGTTTTGTCAAACATTCCATGCCAAATCAAAAAAAATATTTAGGATAAACATTTTGCTAAAAAAAATTTTCAAGTAATACAATTTCTATTTTATGAGAAAAACAAATAAACCAGTTTAAACTGACGACAGTGTATAATACACAACTAAATTTTGTCGTCATCAATTAAATAATTTTAAAAAATATCTAAATTGGCCACAAGTGATGGTATAAGTAAATTAAAAATATACTTTTTTATATTTATAATTGTATACATTATTTTAAATTTAACCAAAACAGTATTTAAAGTAAAAAAACTTGATTTCCCAAATTCTGTTTTTATATTTGTATCATTCTAATATCAATAATGAGCAAAATATTTTTTATTATATATAGATAAATTACACCATAGTTTTTGAAACTTTTTTTCGTATTCTATTATTCTTAATTTTGGTATGAGAAATAGCCTTTTTTGGCATTAGGCGTCAAAGTCGATTTTTCACTAAAATAACTAAAATAAATTGATGCTGATGCTAATATTGTTTTTAAACATTTAAATATAGTATTTTATTCTCCTTTAGGAAAAATATATTACATTTTAGTGAAAAATCGACTTTGATGCATGGTACTCAGGCCAAAATATTCACATACAAAATTACCATAAATTACCATAAGTCAACTTTACAAAATGATTTATGATATCAAAATAAAAGTATTGCACTATTTAAATTATTTATATGATCAAACTATCTATACAACTTTCTTTTGAAGTAATCCTCCAATACTAAAAATAGTTATAAACAAAAAATTTGTCAAAAACATATTTAGCGACCTTGATTTAATATTAAACAAATGGTCAATTGGGTATTCAGGAACCAAAACTTTCCCAAGGCCCTTTAGTTAAAAAATTTTGTCAAAAACAAATTTTGCGACCCAAATTTACAATAAAACGAGTGGACACTCGAATATGTTATTTTTTTTTGGTATTTCCATTTCTTTCAAACATACATATGCACAGCCACCCATTCTCATTGCTTGCCCACGAGTCGTATTTTAATGTCTCTATTACTTATGGGCCCCTTACACGATTATTAATATTGTGAATATTTTGCCTCACACGATCAATATTTTTGTCAATATCATCACCAAAGCGTTTCACTTTTAATTCTTTTTATTGATTCCGTGACATTTTTCGGACTCACTACCATCGCTAAAGAAGTTTCACTTAAAAAAATAATTAATATTAATTATAATTAAAATAAAATATTAGGTTTAAAAGAATAAAAAAGTCAAAAAAATTGTAGCTTTTTTTTCAAAATTGACTATACAGGGTGTCCCAGAACTCGCGCCACAGAGAAAAAGGGGGCGTGCCGATAGCAATGGAGATGCCAAATTTAAAAATAAAAAATTTCTAGGTAATAGTGTAATCAAATGAGAGCAAAAAAGCGGCAGCCAATACCGAGAGATCTCGCCTAGGTTAAACGTAGGAGCTTTAAAAATTGCTAGGAGACGATTGAGGAGACGATAGAACATTGTTGTCTTAAAAACATTTAAAAATCTTTTGGCCAACTGTATTTACTAAGTTGTCAAAAGCTTTCAAAAAATGAGGTTATTAATCTATGACTGATACTTCAGAACGCCAATGTTTTAAAGTAAAAAACCAAACCAGTTGTACTTTATTTAGCTTTTTTTGGGCCCACGCTCCCCATAAATAGTTATCATTTCGGTATAATCATCAAGAAAAACATTATGTATAATAACTTAATTTATTACCTAATATAATATTAATGACAAAAGTAAAGATTGACAGCATTGTGAATAATAACTTAATTTATAACCTAATATAATATTAATGACAGGAGTAAAGATTGACAGCAGTGTTACAATGAATTGGTTTCCAGTTGACCAAATATTTTACATATTTTTTATTATCAACAATGCAACCTACGTATCCTAGCAATTTAAAGAATTCCCTGTGGTGATCTATTGGGATTGGCTATCGTTTTTTATTCTTATCTCCCTTATTCTTTGCGTTGGACAATTTGAATTTTTAAATATGTGTTTCAAATTACTTTCGGTACGTTCCCTTTTTCTCTGTGGCGCGAGTTCTGGGACACCCTGTATAATAATAATAATAATAATAATTATAAATCTTTTAAACCTATTATTTTTTTAAGATCCACTATATTTTGTTGTTGATATTTTTACTGATTTTATCAGAAAAACTATTTACTTACGTAGTATTAAAAAGTCAATAATTTATATTTGTATATGTATATACTAGGGGTGTCAATCCCGAGCCCATTTTCCAATCCCGGGCCTTTCGGGACCAAAGGTAACTAATCCCGGGATCCCGGGCTCAGTCCCGAAAAAATATATATCGTTAATTTTAAAACCAATTTAAAATAAAACAACAAAAAAACTAACGAAAGATATCTTTTGGACTTCTCACTAGTCGGAAGAATGGTTTTCAAGAATTTGTAGGCACATTGCACCCACGTTTACCCCCATTAACAAATAATTCCATTTCTTTTATCAATCGGGCCTTGGTGAGTTCCAATTGGGGCTGTAACTTACATTGAAAGTATCAAGTTTGTGCCATTTTTTCAGGTTTGACGTTTGAAATATGTTATATTATAGGTTATGTAAATAAATTTATTCTACAGTGACCTGTAATTTTACATTTTCTTTGCTGATTTTATGCTATAGATGGAACCACTCTTGCTATGTAATTTCAACGTATTTTCATTATTGTACGGCAGTGTATAATGATTTGACTTGAACTGAGTAAAAAAATTAATTTTTTATATACAGGGTGTTTCAATAAAAACTCCCAGGCGAATTATTTGGAAAACTAAAAGTGACATTTAAATTCTGTAAACGCCAGTTTTTAGCCTCTATGATTGGCTTCACAACTGTGTAAAAAATGTTTTTGAATAATACAAGATGTTGGTGGCGCCACAATGCAAAGAATTTTTTTGATGGAAGGTACTTTTAAATTAATTTTTGATCAAATTATGTCCCATACAAATTTTTGATAAATCCAACATGAAAGGAGATATTTGGGGTTACGTTTTTTTTTAATAATTTTAACGAAGCAAGATGTAAAAACAATTCAACAGTCAAAAAAGGATATTTTTAGTTGAATAATCCGAAAAATATATAAAAATTACCAGACACTCAGTGGCGTATTATTTTTTGCCAATTTTATTTGTTAAGGGGCCCCCTGAGACGTCACTGGACGTAATAATTTTAATCTAGTTAGCGCTACACTAGCGTTTTATCACTAAAATTATGATTACCAGAATTAAATGAACATCTGCTAAAGGATATTAAAAATATTTTTAATTAAAATACTCGTTAAAATTATTTAAAAAAAAACTTAACCCCAAATATCTCCGTTCATGTCGGATTTATGAAAAATTTGTATGGGACATAATTTGATCAAAAATTAATTTAAAATTACCTGCCATCGAAAAAACTCTTTGCATTGTGGCGCCACATACATCTTGTATTATTTAAAAACATTTTTTACACAGTTGTGAATCGAATCATAGAGGCTAAAAACTGACGTTTACAGAATATAAATGTCACTTTTAGTTTTCGAAATAATTGACCTGGGAGTTTTTATTGAAACACCCTGTATATGCTTAGGAGTATATGAAAAATGTGATACGCTTAAAGAAAGGTCTATTCTATTCTTTGTAACTTATTACTAAGATCCCGGGATTGGGACTTTTAATCCCGGGATTTTCGGGATCGGATTTTTTACGGGATCCCGGGACCCCGGGATTTCGGGATCCCGGGATTGACACCCCTAGTATATACTAACATATATACATAAATATAAAGTATGGGGTGTGTAAGTAGTTAAAATTTATGTTTTTTTATAAATTAAGCATATTAGGGCTTAGTTCTTTTACGTATGAAATAATATGTGATTTTTTATTACCACGTTAACACTATTTTTGAACAATAAACAAGCTTTTTATTGCACGAGGATTTGCTTCTTAACCGACGCTATTTTAGTATAGTGTTTATTTACATTAGGTCATACAATATATCAAACAAAAATATATTTTTCACTCATCTATAGACACTGTTTTTATATAATAATACTAATAAATTTTGCTTAAGATTTTTTGGAACCAAAAAACAAGTGCTTATTTTATTTAATTTATTAACAGAGCAGCGGAGAAAACCAAAACAGCTCAATGGATCCACAATTGGAAAGGCAAGTGGAAACTATCAGAAACTTAGTGGACAGCTACATGAAAATCGTTACGAAAACGACCAGAGACTTAGTGCCCAAAACAATTATGATGATGATTATTAATCATACTAAGGAGTTCATCAATGGAGAACTATTAGCACACATTTATGCCAGTGGCGACCAGGTAAGTTAATAAAAATTTTTGTTCTTTAAATTGTAAAACATAACTTATTATGGTAATATTTCTTAAATACTAACTAAATTTTGGCTTATTTTTAGGCTCAAATGATGGAAGAAGCACCAGAGGAGGCTCAAAAGCGAGAAGAAATGTTAAGAATGTACCATGCTTGCAAAGAGTCCCTTCACATTATTGGCGACGTATCAATGGCCACAGTTTCTACTCCGGTACCTCCGCCAGTCAAAAATGATTGGTTGGCAAGCGGCTTGGAAAACCCGAGATTGTCCCCACCAAGCCCCGGAGGTCCGAGAAAAACAGCTCCAAATATGGGAACCGTGGGATCTAGCGGTAAGTATTTTTATTTATATATTTTCCCAATTTTTAACCTGATAATTTCAAATTTATTTGGCGATTTTCCTATCATGTTTAATTAATTATAAATATAAAAAATGCATGTGCCCTTACACCACACCAGTAAAGAAAAACTTATGGAAAATTTAATTAAATTCGTGTTTTTGTTTCTTTAGTCATTAAATTTTAAAAGATAAGCATTGTAATATTGTTTAGGTTTCCTTAAGGAATTTAACATTCTTAGTGCTAGAAAGTTTATTTATTTTATTTATTAATAATATTTTCATTATCAGAAGTTTGATTCTAGAGTAGAACCAATCGGTTTATGGTTAGGCCGGGCCGAAATAAGCCGTTTTTTATTTATTTTTAATAATATTGGCGAACTAGTTATAGAAAGCTGTGGATGTCTATTATATTGAGCCTGTTAAAAATTGGGCGACCTAGGTCAAATTTTGACCGACCCCATTTGGACCTAAAGGTCACTAAAGAAGCTCAATTTTTTTCGTCAAAAAATAATTTACGCCAGGCTCAAATAGAAAATTATAAAAAAAAACTTTGGCCATTTTTAAAGGCCATTAGCCACGCGTGGGCCAGGTTTAATTTTGACTTAGCCGGCTGTTTTTTTTCTGTGTCTTATTAATCAATCGACATTCACAACGTTTCCACGGTAGCGCAAAATCAAATTAAAGAAAAAGTTATTTCAGCCCGCCCTATGTATGGTATGAGAAATACGAAACATAATATTTCAAGCGGTTTTGAACATTTTAAAATTTTGACAGTGTTAAACATTTCTAAAATTTTGCAAAGTACCCTGCACTAAGCATACGGAAAAATGTTGTCCCGATGGATTTCGCTAAGTTTCACGTATGTTCATTGGCGACTCGTGGTAATTTTTATAGTGAATCATAGTGAATTACGCTGCAGGCGATATATTTTTTTCGAGGCCACGCCCTAATTTTGCTTCATTCGCGTTTTTCTAATTAGAGAATATAAAAAGAACGCTTTTACAAAATTTGTTTTTTAACCTGTTTTAAATTTTAGACCAAATTTGGCCCCTATTTATAACACGATTATAATTAACAATGCTATTTTACTATTATTAACAATACTACTTATAAACGGCGAGCGACAAAGTAAAAAACGCTTGCTCCTCGAAAAAGTGCAACTTTTTCTATTTTTCGCTCGGTTGTAGAAAAATAAGTTTTACTTCAATAAAAACCAATAAAATCATCTATTGGCTTTTGTAAGCAAAGAAATATAGAATAAACACTTTAAATTTTAAAAACACACTCATTTTTCCTTCCTAATTATTCCTTATAGTTAAGATTTTCCGCCACCAGTGCTCCCTTATGTAAATTGCACGTGAACAAATATCAAGATTTACTAACATAGAAAAAAATTTGTTGCCTAAAATCCCTCATGATGGTGGTATATATTTTATTAGAGATTGCATCAGTGGCCGCCGGTGATCTACCCGCAGGGTAGGCAAGCGCAAGTTTCTTTATCACTCAGTTCATAAGTGCAACGAGAGCGACAGAGTAAAATGAAGCGCGTGCCTCACCTGCGCGTAGACCACCTGCCGCCACTGGATTACATTTATGATGACATTTTTTAATTGCAGGTTCGTTGGGCTCCCGAGCGCCTCCGCTACCGCCCGCTACAGGTAGACCGGCTCCCGCAATTCCAAATAGACCTGGAGGCGGCGCGCCACCCATGCCGCCAGGTAGACCTCAAGGACAAGCCCTGCCCGCCCCGCTAATTCCCACGTAAGTACATTTTTCATCATTCCAACTATTCAACATTATACTAACAACAAGAAGATTTAAAAACATTTGCATTGGTCAATAATCTCGACATGTTGGCATTTAAATGATATAATGAAAATAATAATTATTATAAACACAGAGCTCTCTTATGTGGTGATTCAGGATAAATCGAAATTACTGTAATATAATGATATATTGTTATCCTTTAACCTATTTTTTTATTGATGAACAAACTTAAAGTAAATAATGTTTTGCAAGTTATGTTTAGTTTGTTATATCATTTAGGTACACTAAAAACAGTAACGGTCCTAAAACTGATCCCTGTGGAACTACTAATATCGCTACCAGTGGCGGCTCCTCAGAGAAGGAAGGGAGGCTCAGCCTCCTTAAAAAAATTAACCATTGCTTCAATTTGCTTTAATTATGTACCTTTTATATTTTAACCAAATAGTGATTAATTAGAGAAATGGTAATCAAATTTCCAGTCATAATTATTATTGCAAAGGTATTTTTTTGTTATAAATGAAAATACTTTATAATCGGACTTTATACAGTGAACTATGTCACAGAGGAGGCTGCGTGTCCGAAGATTTCGTTGCTATTCAAAATTCATTTGTTAAGTTCTCGCAGTGTACGACGGAATGACCGTGAGCGGTCACCGTCTTAGCGCTGCATCTTAAAATTTCGAGTCTTGGATTTCGTTATTTTGTCAACAAAATAAGAATTAAAGGAAAAAAACTTATGTGATATCATAATAATATCATTAAATTATTTTTACGATGCAATTTCCAAATCGTCCATATCTACCAATTATATTTATTTTAAACTGTTAGTAGAAATAATAATAAAAAGAAAAAAAGAGCTTAAAAGCGTTGATTAAAAACCACTTATTTAATGATAAAACGTAGTGTATTTATGAGTATTCCTGTCTTAATTAAATGTTGCTAAAAGCTGTTATTTTCTGAGCTGTAAATTGTATTTATTATTGTTATAATTACCTATAGCTATACATTTGAAAATAACAGCTTTTAAAGACATTTCTACCAGGATCATTAGAACACTATGATGATACTTTATTAAGCAATTAGCTCTATTAGGCAATTAGTCTTTATTGCCTGTTGTTGTTTTGTTTAAACATGGAAAATTGAAATAAATTAAATATTGTAGATTGGCTTTGCCTTAATTCTTGTATTTTTAAGTTGTATAATTGTCTTTTCTTGTTACGCCACAAACATCTTAGACAAGATTTTTTAATGGCGACGGGTCTCAAAAAATAACAACACTTGTACTTTATTACCTCCTTACTTCGGCCGACCATGAGCCGCCACTGATCGCTACTTTTAACACGAATTTTTCTAAATTGTTTTATATTATGGAGGAACACACCATTAAACCTAAGGAACCCAAAAGTGCAAAACAAATTTTCTCCGCCATTTTTATTTTTGTCAAATAACTCGCTATTCTTTGAATTCACGTGAAAGCTTACAAGAGCTAAGTCAGAGGAAATAATAATAATAATTTTATTCATGTTACTATACAAAAGTATTTACATTTGGCAAAATTAAAAATAATAGCATAAATATTTAATTAACAATTATAAAACAAAAAGGTATATAATATAAAAAGGTATCACATATGGGGCATTCCACGTTACTCGGTAATTTTTGTCCCGCCCGTCACAATTAAAAATTGTGAGTAAAAACCACAAGTTATAAAATTAATATTTTATAATATTATTTTTATTGTGCTTGTAACTTATACAAAAATCCCCGAGTAACGTGGAATGACCCATATGTTACATTACTTTACAAAAAAGGGTATATTACTTTAGACTAATAAAAACCAACCAACAAGTGTATATATAACTTGCCTATGTCATACAAATTTTTGACAAAAAAAAACTAATGGCTAGGAGGTTAAAAAGCAGTTTGGCTAATTTTTTGCTGTTTCTTCAGTGCCTTTCTTTTACTAAAAATGACTGGGCTAACCGGTAAATGGGCCAATGCAAATATTTTTAATGTATCTACATCCACACGTTGTGCTGAGCTTGTGTGGTATTTGTTTTCAGGAGGCGTTAGGGATATCCTATACACCATCATTACTATAAAATACTAGTTCACTAATATTACCTAAACCTACTTGTTTGAAAGAAAAGGTAGAGTCTGATTTTTGTTGTTTTAATATTTTGTTTTTAATTAATTCAATATTTTAGGAATGTAATAATTTTTAAAAATCACTTTCTACCCTGTTTCAAGTCAAGTTGAATGTTAAAAATTATTGACATGCTTGATTTTATCTAATAAATAAATAAATTGTATAGAACATTGCACATTTCAATAGAATATTTATTATTCTCTTAAATACCTAAAAACCTATATACTTGGTACTATGTATAAAATTTTGGCATTTTGAAATGTTAAATGCATAGAATCAATCATGTCATAATATAAATCAAAGACATATTTCCTTGTCTAAGATATAAATAATTTAAAAAATAGGATGTTATGATTGTTACATGCTTTGCTTAAAATAGTGTTTTTGTAACAATGTATTTTGTTAATGTCCTATTACCCACATGAGCACCTAAGGTGATAGTTAACGATATTTGAATGGTTTTTGCTATGCATAGCTTTCATAGGCATATTAATTATGTACAAAACTATGTCCGACTATAAAAAAATTGTTTTAATAAAAATATAGATTTGTATAAAAATGTACACGCCTCAATAGGCACACAAATTGGAGTCGTATTTCAATTTGCATTCACAAAATAAAATTGTTTGCTTAACAGTTTTGTTATGTAGCTCATAAAACTGTGTAAATAATGTCAAAATTATTAAACATATTTTAATCCCGGATTTATGATGTACGAGTTTGCTGCCAAAACGCGCGCGTTTTCACTAACTTAGTCTAAAAACAATCGAACAAAACCTAGTGAATATGGATATTAAATTTTTACAAAAATTTAATGATTATAATGTCTTGATCACGGTCTTATATACACGGGTCCTGCAACCCGGACTTAAAAATGTAGGTCATTTTTATAGATTCAAAAATGTAGTTGGGATTTAAAAAATGAAAGTCATGTTCCACATATTAAGCATGTGTGTTCATTTCACCGCATAGAAAGTGTGTAGCGCCACCTGATATTTTCATTCATAGTGGAGTCACTTTTTCTATTGAAATTGGGCCAACTTGCAAGACCTGTATATAAGACTTAGGGCCAGTATATTCACCTTCCACTAAATTTACCCAATGCTTAATTGTCATAGTTACAATTGTGTCAACAATGGTAACTATGACAGTTATCCATCTAGTAAATTTAAAGGGAGGTGAATATACTGGCCCTTAAAAAAATAACAAAAACTATTTCTAAATTTATTACTTGTTTTCAAAAAGTTTAGTTTGATTGTTTGTAATGTCAATTGAAACGTTTACTATAATTTGGCAAACTACTGTCACGCTTTTGAGGTGTAATTTTGGTTTAGGATTTCTAGCACATCCGCGTGGATATAGGTTTCATTATTATAATAACAATAACCATGTTTTGAGGTGTTTGTATTAACAATAAAGCTGAGTTGAACTAGTAAATCGGTTATAAATAAAGTGGGATTTATCTCTCCTATGTTCAGTCGAGTGGCCGGTCAGGCGGGAGGCGTCCAAATACCCCAGCAAGTTCAGATGGCCGTCGGCAAGGCTGTAACCAACGCTGCAATCAACGAACTTTCCAATGCCTTCAAGTTCCACAAGTAAATTTTATTTAATTTATTTTAAACCATAACAAACTTTGTTTGCTTACTAATCAAGTTTTACCCCCAATGGACAGGTTATATTTTTTTGAAACTTGGTACCATTCCTAAAGAGTAATAACTTATATATTACATTAATATGTTCTACTCTAGGAGCGTCACCGTTTTAGTTGTTTGATGTTTATAGATGCAATAAATTTGTATATTATACGCAAATCTTAATCACATTCCTTAAAGAGTTTTTTATTTAAATTTGCCAGGATTTTTTAAGAAACTAGAAGTAAAAACTTTACGATTTACGATAATATAAAAATATTGCAAATAAAATAGAAATCGTAAAAATTCGCTATTAAATGCTTAAAAAGATCCTTTGTTAAATACAGTCGTAAACATAATATAAGGTTTGTTCCACGATATAACTTTGTCCTATCGAGCATTTGGACGTCAGGGATATGCGCATTACCAAAATCGCATGCGCAGTACGAAAATATGGTTGCGATTTTTCGATTGCGCATGTTCCTGTCGTCCTTTTGACGTCTTTTATGTATGCATTTAACATTCCAAATGCTCAGTAGGAAGAAGCCTATTACTAAATTTGCATCAAAGATTTGTTGTCTTATCACTAATTATTAGTGATGAGACAACGAATTTTTCAACATTTTTATAGCGAATTTTTTATGTTTTATGGGTTTTCGAGTGTATATCGTTTCTTTTTCGTATTTTTTTACTTGACGTTTCTTAAAGAATGAAGAAAGCATGGTATAAGGAAGACAAAGTATGTTCTTGGGCGGGTGTCAGATATAAGTAGCGCCCGCTCTTGTATCCATATTTCCATATGTCTCGCCGTATTTGTATTAATAATCACCTCAGAAAAATCTTCCAAAAAGCTGCTGGTATTTAATTGTTACAGATCGTACAATGTAAGTATGGCGGCAAGTTTTGAAAACAAGCACGTCGGAAGAATATGCTTTGTCTTATTTGTACCATGTAAAAAAGACTGGATAAAATCTCAACAAATTTAAAATAAAATTTTCTAATTAAAAAACCTTTTAATAACTAAATATCTGGTTAAAGCTCTATTCGCTGCGTCTCTATTATTTATATATCCTTTTATCTAAAGAATAAAATTTATATCCATTATAGCATATTTTATTCAGAGATCAAGTATTTTCTTTACCTACCCATATCAATGTACTTATTGAAAAAATAGCACTTGGCTTTTTACGATTTTAAACTTATTTTTTAGATTTTAAATATAATTCGGCATCAAAAAAGTTTATTTAAATGAAAATCACGATGTCCATAAATTAACCTTGCAAAACAATATTGTTTTAATTTAAAAAAAGTAATTTGTGGATGATTAAAAATGTTTATAAAAATACATACCGCATCCATAGGTCATTAGTTTAAAAACTAAATAAATAAGCCTGATTTTATTGCACATTTTTATTAAGCCTTTGTAAGTGTACTATTTTGCAGTTTATAATAACACACATAACTAGATCTTCCTTGTAGAATACCAACGTAACGTGTATCTAAATATCTCATTTTAATGTCAAATAAACGCATATGGTAGTGAATCTGGTTGAGGACTAAATGAAAAATTTAGGCCACATCATCAAGTTTAATAAGAAAATATTGACCCTACATAATTTTGTACTTGTACAAATTTTCGCGGAGGCGGTTTTTGCTGTCCAATAAAAGTTATAATATATTTTAATTTAAAGAATACAAAATTCGGTGGGGTCTCGTAGCAAAATAAATAAAATCACGACAAAAAACAAAAATATATTTTGGGCTTGGACGGTGCGTCGGGCTTTGCCTATTACAAGTACACTTAATTATCTAGATACTACACATAGATAAGCCTTTCTAGCATAAATTAAAGCTAAACCTTATTTGCATATCATCTAAATATAAATTAGATCTAGATATTGTCGATTTAAAAATGTTACCGTAATGATGTGTGTAGAATAAGCAAGGTATAAAAGACATTGTAGCGTTTATTGTATTTGAAATAACCGTCAATTATTAAAAGTTTATAATGACTGGTTTTAACAGGATACCTAAATTTTAACTATTTATAATTAAATGTTAATTTTGTATAAATAATTTGGTGCTCTCTACAAAGATTTCTTTTGGGATTAAAAAATGCATTTGAAAACATTATTTTGATCTATTTGTTATGCACTGATTTGTATAAGTTATCTTTTTCCATATAAGTACATATAACTATCTAAAAAGTAAAGTTTGTATAGAAAATCTCAAATAATAATGAAACAATCAGGTTAATATGGAATACTTACATAGTTGTAGATTTTGAAGTATAAGTCAATCCAATAATAATACGTTTAGATTCCAAAATTTGCACAAATGGTATTTTAAAAATTATTGCTAATGTTATTTATTCATTATTTTAAAAGCTAACATGTTAAATTTGATTTAGCTTCATATCCTATACACTAATAATACAGGCTAAGTATGAGGTATTATGTTCCACATCAAGTACCACTTTAACATTTGGATAATTGAGGTTATGTATCTGTCAGTTAAACGCTTATTTCGTTTATTTTTGAAAATAGTACATTCAGGCCAACTCACTAACATGAGTCGTTAACGTTAACCACTAGAATCAGTGTTTATCGGGCAATCCGGCAAATCGGGCCGTTTAATATGATTTGACTAATTCTAGTGGCTAACGTTAACAACTTATGTTAGTCAATTGGCCTGATTGAATGTATTAGAAATATATATTGCATTATTTTAAGAAAATAGCGTTAAATTGACAGATACATAACCTCAACTATTTGTCTGTATTCCTTATTCAAATGTTAATTTGACATTTGAATCAGGAATTATCAAATTGGGACTTTTTCATGTGAAGCATAGTACAAATATCAAAACTAAATATTATAAATTTAAAATTTGACTGGGTTATATTCAAACTATTGTCAACAAAATTAATCATTTTAATGCAATAATTGAAAAAAAATCAAATAAAGTCACTTATATTTTTCTTGAGGATATATAAATTACATACATAATACCATTATTTAAAGATGATAGTATTTTTAAGAATTTGTATTATATTAAGATTTAAACATATGCTCTCATGCTTAAATATTTATTGTATAATGATATTGTTGTTAAATATTTAGATTTATAAGTGGATATTTAAAAAATGTTAATAACCTCCACCTCAGTGTTATATTTGCAAACACATTCTGTAGATATACATTCAGTATTTTTAAATTGTTAACGCAAAACTTACCAATTCAAATATAATTATTTGTTAATATAAGTTAAACTGTATATAAAATTTTAATTTTAAAATTATCAAAAAGCGTTAACATTTTAAAATTGCCTTAATTGTGCACCCAGTTTGCACAAACTTATGTAGTTATTCTTGAATGTGTAAATATAGACGTAAAATTAAATTTTCTTTCTTTTCTAAACCTCTACTAACATCCTATTCCTTGTTTGTAGATTTGCTTAATTATGTTAGGTTTTTTTGTTCGTTAACTTGTTTCTCTTTATTTATCCTAAATATTGACAGAATAATATTGGTATTAAAAAAAGCAATTAATAGTTATTTATGTCATCAGGTCAAGAAGTAAGTCTTTGTGATAAAAGCTTGAACAAAGCACAAAAAGACCATGGTCGAATTTCATACATTTTATTTTCAAACAGTATAAATTTATGCACAATTTTTTTTTGTTAAACGATAAATAAAAAGTACAATTATTAATAGTAAAAAGTGAGGTTAGATAAATTTGACAGATATCGAATTTTATGATTGGTCCAAACGCCGTAAATAATAAATTACTAGCCTCATAAAGTAGTTTGAAACTAAATTGGACTAAATTGTTTTTATGTCCAGTACATAGTCAATAACTTTAGTGTAGAGTTAAAGTTTAATTTAAGGACCGATTGAAGATAAAAATTATTGTAAATTATTCTGAAGCGCATTTATTAACTTCAAGCGTTCTGTAATTTAAACTTTATTCTCTACACTTGACCAATTGGGTAAAGTTTTCTTTACCTCCTAGGCTGTAAAAAAAACCCGTTTAAACAAATCAAAAAATTCGATCACTTTCTACTTTTAATATTATTAAATTAATAATAATAGTATGTTTTATGTATCCTTTAACCAATAAAATTGTGCCTTGAAGATAAAATATTGTATGCTATTTAGTTAAGAAGTGTATTTTTGTGCTTTGCTCAGTTAAGCTCAGCACAAAAATACTTGGTTATCAGCCTAATGACAATAATAAGCATTTTTACATTTCTGTTCATATTGGGGATAGGCTTTAAAATGGTGTTGGGCAAATAGCTTTACTCAACTGACAAAAAGGCCAAAACCAGAGCCATACCTCAAAATTAGAGGCGAATAATAACATTTTAGTTTTCAAATTTATCACAAAACACTGTTTATTTTTTAATGACTAATAGTTCTACATGATTTTTTAGATAACATTTTTTTACTCTTTACAAAAATTAAAATTGCTGCCAACCCCTGAGCAGCCTTTCTGGTTTTTGCCCGCTTTCAAAATGCTTTGTTTTTATTATTTTTTCACCCTAACACTTTTTCAGTCGTCCAGTTCCGAATATTCCACCTAGGATACCAGAAAGACCAGGACAGCAACATTAAAAGTACTAGTCAAAATTTTTTTTGGGACCAACCAATAAGGTGCAACTTACTCAGTGAAATAGATATTTTAGCTAGCAATACAGCAGAATATAACTATTTTATTTGATATGAACTGTATACATGTATTATGTTTGAAATTATTTAAAGTAAATTTTGATGTATAGATTTTAGGATATTAGAAAATATCCAAAATTGAAAAGTGAATCTGTGATTGTGTTAATATAACTGTATTAAAAAAAATTCACATTTTTGTATATGTATTTTTATTTAACAAATACAACAATATTAAGAAATACTTGTTAGTTTGCTGTTATCTTTGTGTGAATTAAATTAACTTATTTAGTTAATATTTTGAAATTAAACCCAATAACTTTCAATTTAAAACTAATAGATGGGATAAAGATACGGAAGTGAATGAAAATTATTGGCGCGCTATAATGATAATCACGCTGCATAGTGTGGCCAGATGGGAAAATAAGTGTCTAAATTATTTTTCTTGAAAGAGTTGAAGCAAATAACTTTTTTATTTGTATAAAGTTGTTAGAATTAAAATGTTTCATTGTCTTTTCTTTTCAAAATGTCAAATCCAATATGTCGTCAAAAATTAAAAATGCAAGGAAAAAAATCAGAAATTGGTTAAATTATATATAAATTACCCACATTAAAACTTTTTGTCCTGTAAACATTTTTCGAAAAGGTAATACTCTTTTAATAATAATATTAATGTTTATTAACAGCAAATTGCCACAATATAAATACAATACAATATTATGAAAGTCATAAAAACACTAATAAAAAAACGTTAATATAATTAGTAAAATTACATTTTATTAAGTGTTGGAAATTGTGTATAAACCTTTTTTAAATACAATATGCTACATTTCAATAGAGAATAAAATTCCGCGTCGAATGGTATAAAAAGTTTATGGTCGTTCAATTTGAAATAAGAAAGTTATTGGCATTTAAAGTTGGAAAAAAGTAAAGGTAAATACCAAACACCCTGTATAACATTTTAGAATACTATTAATGGATCCTGATAGGATACGCCTTTGTTAACGTATATACCAAAAATGAACTTTTTAACATTACAATTGTTGGTAATACAGACATTTTAGTTAGTCACTCCAAATGTCAATTTTTAAAAAAAAAATTAAATATCTCATAAACAATTGAAGATAGGAAAACGATTCAGAATGCAATAGCTTCAGAATTTTACGTAGAATTTAAAAATACAATAATATTTATACGTTTCCATTTGAAAAAACAAAGCTAATGTCACTTCCGTTTAGACCGGAAGTGACAGCGCATTGAAAATATTTTAGAAAAATAGATCCCATCGCACCGTAGCTGCAACCAGAATTTCAGTCATTTAGTTCTCTATAAACCCCTAATCAGTTAGGTGAATCACCCTGTATATATACACACATGATCAAAATTGTTGCATATTTCTGAATTTTAATTTTCGCTTTGTATAACATTCTGTTTTTTGTTGTTTTGGAATAAATTTTCATTTAATAGTTATAATACGTAAAATAAAGAAAATTTAATATATTAAAGTATATATTTTTGTAGGAAATATTAAAAATAAAACTAAATATAATTTTTAAAAAGTGAAAACAATTTATTATCAGAAACGATTTAGGTGAAAAAACATTTTAAATATAAATTTTATTTATAGAATGAAGGTGATTATTTTCTCAAAATTGTTTATAATAATTATAAGAATTATTGTAATGTACACTATGTATTTTATTGTCAATAAATTATTTATCTAAATATGTTGTCAAAGTCATCATCCTCGTCGGAACTATCGTCTTCGAGGAGGATGATTGGTTCCGAAACTTTTATTTTTATTATTTCCTACAAAAATACTTCAATATATTAAATTTTCTTTATTTTACGTATTATAACAATTAAATGAAAATTAATTCCAAAACAACAAAAAACAGAACGTTATACAAAGCGAAAATTAAAATACAAAAATATGCAACAATTTTGATCATGTGTGTGTATATATATAATATACAAGGTGTCCCTAAACTTAGTGGCATAAAGGGGGTAGCGGGTTAAGGGGGGTCTGGCGGCCCCCACCGAATCTGGTAAAATCGTTCCAAAAATCTCGAAGAGGGTCGAAAAACAAGCAGTATAAGCTTTTTACCGACATTACAACCCCAAACGAAAACACAGTAATGGCGAAAAATATGATTTTTTGTGATTTTTATTTTTTTCAACCAGTTTAATTTATTTTTAAATGGTTTAAAACGCAATTAAAAATTTGTTTTGGATGTATGGTAGTCCCCTGAATTTTTTCAGATTTTTTGGTCAAGTAAAAACATGTGAATTTTAGGCTTAAATGCGAAAAAATCGTGAAAAACGCGTCATTTTCAAGATTCAACCCTCTAATTTTTAGGGTTGTTTTCATTTTCCCGAGGGGTGCTGTATAGTATAGATAGCGGCAATCGTCCTCTTTTGAATGCAGGCAACTGGACTCAATTTGGTCAATTCTGGTGAGCGGGGCGATTTTTAAAAAAAAACTCGAATTTTCAACTTTCGGTAATTTACGGCGCGTACTTGGTATAATGCGTCTTTGCTATAAAAAATACATCTCCATAGAGGTTTTTGAGGTCGCTGATCACGAATTTGATGTCAAAAAAAATTTTTGACAACAAAGATATTTGTCGCGAATTATTCGTCCAGCACAGATTCTCACAAATCTTTTCTCTGTTCAAAGCGTTGGACATGTTATTGAAGAAGATAGTGACGAGGATTAAAACTGTAAAATTGTTAACTTAGCTCTGTAAAAAAGTATTATGCTATTTTATATTACTGTGTGACTATTACGTAAGCTTGAATAAAATATGATTTATACCAGAAAATTTAATTTCATTGATTATATTAGTTGAACACGATATTAAAATTGTTTAAATGCTGTGATTCAATGATATTTTTTACATTATCAAACCTGTGTTAATAAATATTTATGGGTGAATTTGTTGTCAAAAAATTTTTTTGACATCAACTTCGTGATCAGCGACCTCAAAAACCCTTATAGAGATGTATTTTTTATAGCAAAGACGCATTATACCAAGTACGCGCCGTAATTGACCGAAAGTTGAAAATTCGAGTTTTTTTCAAAAAATCGCCCCGCTCACCAGAATTGACTAAATTGAGTCCAGTTGCCTGCATTCAAAAGAGGACGATTGCCGCTATCTATACTATACAGCACCCCTCGGGAAAATGAAAACAACCCTAAAAATTAGAGGGTTGAATCTTGAAAATGACAAGTTTTTCACGATTTTTTCGCATTTAAACCTAAAATTCACATGTTTTTACTTGACCAAAAAATCTGAAAAAATTCAGGGGACTACCATACATCCAAAACAGTTTTTTAATTGCGTTTAAACCATTTAAAAATAAATGAAACTGGTTGAAAAAAATAAAAATCACAAAAAATCATATTTTTCGCCATTACTGTGTTTTCGTTTGGGGTTGTAATGTCGGTTAAAAGCTTATACTGCTTGTTTTTCAACCCTCTTCATGATTTTTGGAACGATTTTACCAGATTCGGTGGGGGCCGCCAGACCCCCCTTAACCCGCTACCCCCTTTGGGAGCAGATTAAGCAAGTCAAAATAAGACGAAAATCTAAATAAATTTTTTTCCTAATTAGGTATGTTTAAAAGATACAGGGTGATAAAGTTTACTTATCATATCAGTTTTTTTAATATAACTTCCACTATGGTAGACGTGGAAAGGTGATATTTTGAGAACAGTCACTTACTACCAAAATACATATTCACACATAATAACAATTGTTCGAGTGAACGCAGTGTCGTAGAAACAGGGGTTGCTTAAGCTTATTGTCCCATACAAACTTTGAGGTTTTTTATACCATTTGATGCATTTTTTCGATTACTCATATATCAGTTCGTCTACTATTAAAAAGGTATACCTCTCAAACTTCGATAAAATAAACCGTTTCCGAGATATCCGAGATTACAATAATTGTTATATCGTATTAAAGGACTAAAAGGTATATGATAACAAATTTTTTAATTGAAAAAACTACAATTTTTTTAATGTGACGGTCAGGGCAAAAAGTCTCGAGGCTCATGGAATGCCGTTTTTTAGTTTTTTCAATTAAAAAATAAAATTTGTTATCATATACCTTTTAATCCTTTTAAATAATGCGATATAACAATTATTGTAATCTCGAATATCTCGAAAACGGTTTATTTTATCGAAGTTTGAGAGGTACACCTTTTTAATGGTAGACGAACTGTGTAATAGAAAAATTGTATCAAATGTTATAAAAACCTAACCTCAAAGTTTGTATGGGACAATAAGCTTAAAGCAACCCCCGTTTCTACGACACTGTGTTCACTCAAACAATTGAAATTATGTGTGAATATGTGTTTTGGTAGTAAGTGACTGTTCGCAAAATATCACCTTTCCAAGACTACCAGAGTAGAAGTTATATTAAAAAAACTGATATGATAGGTAACAGTTTATCACCCTGTATCTTGGAAACATAAGTAATTAGGAAAAATATTTATTTAGGTTTTCGTCTTATTTTGACTTGCTTAATCTGCTCCTAAATTTATGCCACTAAGTTTAGGGACACCTTGTATATTAGACTGGGCCAAAAAAATCGATCATTTTTTTTTGTGTATATCGAAAATATTGTTTAGGGTGACAAAAAAAATTATGGTGAAAGTTTGAGTCCATAATATTAATATTAAGAGGTCTATCATCGCAATTTTAGATTTTTTTTTCCTGAGCGAGTTTTTGTCGCAGAACTCCCAAACCATTGAGTTCAACTAAATTGACTATTGAATATTTTTTGAAGAAAATTGAATGCTCTACAAAAAAGGTTTGATTGGAATTTCCCGTCAGATGAACCGTTTTCTTACAATCATGCCTTAAAAATTGGTATAGTTTTACAATTTGATTTTTTAACTTTGGAATTTTGTAATTCATGTAAAAATCAGTACCCAGAAAAAAACCGATGAATATTCTTATGGGAAATCAAATGCTTTACAAAAAATGGTTCCACTAAACTTAAAAGTTTGTAGATTTGTGGGATTTTTCCTTTGTACTATATTTTAAATTTAATTTTTATTATAAAAAAAACAAAAAAATTAACCAAAAATAATACAAAAATTATAACCAATTTTATAATTGAATCACTGCAACAATTTTTTTCCGCCTCCAGCAACTGCACGGCTTCACCCGTCTTTGCTGGGTGCAAATGTCCACCGCGTCCGATACTGTACCATATTGGGGACTCAAGAGCGACATGCGAATAGTTTAAATAGCCTTTCCTGGATTCGCCATTAGGAACAAAAGGAGGTGGGGACGAAGGGGACAGACATTTTGGTGTTTAGGGGACAGTTACGCCGACTCAAATCTGCGTCCGACGCGGAATCCCCCTAGACCGGGAAATTAGTCTTACTCCAAACATTTGGGATTACAATTTATAGTTGGGGAGTTGTTAGTTAGCTGTAGGGACTTGTCTTCCTTGTTGTAGGCTACGGCTTGATCGTCACCTTGTCTCACCTCCTGTGGTTTCCTTGCGACGTTGAAGACGTCCGAGACGGCTAGTGTTGTTTCCACTCCTACAGAATAGCTGTTTTTGCCCTAGTCGTGGTTTAAGTAAGCATTGGTTTGTCCGTCTTTGTTTTCATATGAATGCCGAGTTCGATTATGCTTTCGACGTAGGGTCTATAGGTTTCTATGTTTATTTATGTCTCGGTTAGTTTACACACTTTTGTTTATTGGAAAAGGTTTTTTAAATTTATGGATTTTGTGACTGATTTATTGGTATTGCTCAGCTGTAATCCCGTGAATGCCAGTATAAGATTTGGGATGGCTTGGATTTATTGTTTTTTTTGTATTGTTTTGTTACTATTTTCTTTTTATCAATGTTGCTGTTTATCTTTGTTTTACATGGTTTCTTAAATTTTTTTTTTTAATAGGGTTGTGTTTAAGCGGAAATTTACGTAATAGGTCATGGATTCAGTTATAAGAGTACTTATCAAATGTTTGCAGATGATGGCCCTTTCTACTCTAAATCAAATGTAATAAAATGACAAAATAAATTTTGTTTTTGCAAGTTATCGTTATTTATGAATTAAGTATTAAAGCAACTCCCTGCAATGTACTGCCTGAACCTCCTTAAACCAGTCATGCAACTTTAATTCTTTTTCGAGGCTAGATACCTTATAGTTGGCTAAACATTTTTAGGCCGATGATATAAAAAGAAAAGGATTTATCATTTTAAGATATCGTAAAAAACGAGAATCGGTAATTTTTTTTTATTATTTCATTAACAGTTACTGTTGATCATTACTGTTACTATTTCAAATTATTAAGATGGCTTTTTAAGGGGAATTCAAATCTGCTAAAATATTTATGGCTAAAATACAATTTTTTTCATCCAATTTCGGTCATCTACCAGAAATTGCTTACTTAATTTTTCTACTAAAATTTATGGTAATATGGGCACCCACTGTAGATGTTTGTTGTAACTACAATTTATTATATACATTTATATTAAGTTATATATATCATTTTATAATGGCTGTCAAGTTACAACACGGATGCGCGGAACAGAATCTGTGCAACTGCGCAACCACGCCGCGGCATGGCAATAGTTACTTTCTAATGATAACATATTCTAGGTATTTAAAAAACAACTTAACGTTTATAAAAATGTATTTAAAATATAACTTCTTATAATAGAGTAACAAATAAGTCAAATATGTTTAACAAATTCAAACAGAAATTAATAATTTGTCAAAAATGTATCACAATAACAATATTATAAATATGGATTCGGATTAAAATACAAACCGAATTCAAAATTTTAAAAAAATACTAGAAACTAAGATTTAATGACAAGACGTATGAACTGTGGCACTTGTAGTAGTGTCGTTGAAAATAACGCTATTGTGTGAGGTAGAGGGCTCTTCCAAGGCTGGAGTAGATTCTCCGTCTTTACCTGCGAATTAAAATGTTTTAAACATTTTATTTTATTAGTTGTCAAGACAGTGTATATTCTGACGTTAAATATAAAAAATGCTAACCAAGTCACAAGTGACAACTCAAAAAGTTAAAACTGGGTTTTAATAATAAGGTTACAAAATTCTACTGGGGGGAGGGATACTTACAGGGAGAAATGGAAACAGGGATTAATTAATATTAATTAACTCAAATTCGTGGCGCACAGGAGGATTTCCATGGCGTATTGATTGTTGTTGTTCAATAGTTCTGGCTAAAAATATCACAAACTGTTTTCACAAGGGATCTTTTATACAACATATCACCCAATGATTTTTTATTTCTTATGTCTTTACTTTGTCATAAATTATTGGGCCCAGTCACAATCCACACAACAAGGTCTGTTCTATCTCGTACTAAAAATACAAAAAATCACTGCAACACTGCACAGTTTAACGGCGGCCATTTTTGTTGTTTACAATTTTTGTGCTTTGGGTTTGTGCTCTGATTTTACAGATTAATAATCGTTTTAAACGTTGTGTTTCTCATACCCAGACTGCAATGAAGGTTCGAAAATATTCCAGGAATATTCCCTATCGCCTAGGAATAATCCGCTTCATTCTAGGAATATTCATTGGGAATGATCCTCTAAGCATCATCTAAGAATATTCCCAGTGAATATTCATTAGTTTAGTTGCAATACCTCTCACCGTTGCTTAAGCACGCTTGATAACTATATATACCGATAGGTTAATAATATTAGTTGGAGATATGCGTCTGTGATGGCATCATCTAAGAATATTCCCAGTGAATATTCATTAGTTTAGTTGCAATACCTCTCACCGTTGCTTAAGCACGCTTGATAACTATATATACCGATAGGTTAATAATATTAGTTGGAGATATGCGTCTGTGATGGCACAGCCAAACAATGATTAGAGTGGGACTGATCTACTCAGTAACTCAATAATGGCTATACTTAAGTTAAGTTCCTGGGTATAAGAGGCAATTGCAATAAGGGCTGGGAATAATCCCCAAATTATATCAAGGAATATTCCCCTAACAATCCTTGAGTCTTCTGCAGGCAGATATATGGAATATTCTTTTTATGATGCCTGGATTAACCAAAAAGCGGACATTTGATTATGCCAGGAATATTCCTGGGAATATTCTGGGACGATTGGAATATTCCTGGGAATATTCCTGACATGTGCAGGGAATGTGATTTTGCGGTCTGGGTAGTAAGCCTTAAAAGAGTCCTTAAAGTGCTAAAAACAACCATGTTACTCCTCTATTGTAAAAAATAAACTTTATTCTATCAGGGCTGTCATAAAACTGTCAAATGTCAATTTTAAGGTTAAATTATAACCCACAAATTAACCTTCAAATTTTCATTTGACACCCCTGATTAAATAAGGTATATTTATTAAAAAAGAGGAGTAAAATGGTTGTCCTTAGCACTTAAAGGCCTTATTTGAGGCTTACAAGTGCCTCTGTAAGAAACACAACGTTTAAAATAATTATTAAACAGCGCAAACCCAAAGCACAAGAATTGTAAACAACAAAAATGGCCGCCGTTAAACTCTGTGCAGTGTTGCAGTGATTTTTAGTATTTTTAGAATGAGATAGAACAGACCTTGTTGTGTGGATTGTGGTATAACTAAAGATTCGAATTTTAATACGCTGTGGCTCCCGTCCCGAGGCGGGACTTAAGTTCAGTCCCGATTGACGTCATAATTTTAAGATTTGTTATGTTATAATAAAATAATAATAATAAATTGTACCTGTATACATGTTAAGGGCACTTTAGTTACGTCATAAAACCAAACCAACCCAAACTCAACAACACAACCCAACCGACCCCGCCCCATTGGGCCCCCCCCCGCCCCATTGAGCAAAAAACCTAACTAAAATGGGCAAATTTATGTTACGATAAAAATAAAACACTTTTTAACAAAGAAACAACAAATTTATAAAATAAAAAAAATAAAAAAAGTTTGACAACTTCTAGTGGGATCGAACCCGGTACCTCTCGCATGCCAAGCGACCGCCCTACCATCTAAGCCATCGAGCTTGACACAAATTATAAAATCTCGGGGAATAAAAACCGATTTACAGTGTGTGACGTCAATCGGGACTGAACTTAAGTCCCGCCTCGGGATGGGAGCCACATCGATTTTAATAACATAATATACAGGATGGCTAGAATTTTTAAAGTTAAGTAAATATTTCATAATTTTGCTGCACTGTGTACTAAAAGTACGCAGTGACTACGGGCACGTTAAGCCTGATTTATAGATTACCTTCCTCACGTAAAAGATAAACAATACAAAAACCGTCGTGCAGTTTATAGATTTCCGTACGCGAATCTATAAATGGCACTACGATTTTCGTATTGTTCGTATCTTTTACGGAAGGAAGGAAGGCAATCTATAAATTAGAGGGCCTGCAATTTAGTTTTTACGGGCACGCTAGTGACGTAATGGATGAAATTCGCCACACTGCTGTGCCGCTTAATTTAAAATTGGCGGCACGTCAACCGGACAATTTAACTGTCACAAAGAAAATACCTAAAAATGATTCCATAGCAGGTACAATAGTAAAAAAGTATATAATTTATCATTGGCGTACCTTTATTTTCTCTAAAAAGGGATATTATTACCCCCGTATTGACGCTACTGATTGTAGTATGAAAACGAATGTACGTAATAAAAAACAATACTTGCCAAATTTTAATAGAATAGGTTCTTTCGTTTAGTAGAAAAAATATATGCCTGTATTTGTACTGTTAAGTTTTTTATATAATTATTGATTCTCAATTTATTAAAGGTTTTTTTGGGCCATATAAAGGAAGTCTGATATTAATCGGGAAAATTCATTAGTCAATAGAACTCGCAAAAATAAGAAGAAAAGTTAATATAAACTTGTATGTTTTAAAGCTTCCTTTAAAGATACAGGGTGGTAAAATTATTTTAAAAATATTTATTTTTTAAATTTCAAAAACTTTTGGGCCAAATTTTATTTAAGTTTAATTAAGGAAATCCAACTGGATATGTAAAAATAAAATGTTGGTGGGTATGATACTGATTTTTAACAAGTTTAATCAAAGAACATTTAGTAAAATTCAAGGGAGTTAAGCTACAAAACCAGAAATCTGCTGAATTTCAATGATAAAAAAGTAGCGTTTTGGATAAAAAATCTCCGCTTGTTTTTCTCTCACACACACACACACATACACACACAGACTAAAGGACTCTTGCATTTTCTAAGCATTCTCCAAAAACTACACAATTAATGTCTATCATAGACAGTCTATGTATAACAATTAATTAATTGTTTTAATTTAAATAATGAATGAATATTCTGAAACTCCTGGGGGTGTGTAGATCATACACCTTCAAAACATAATTTCTAATAAATCCATATTGCTTAAACATTGTGCACTAGGTCAAATCTATATAATAAGGCTTGAAAAAATATAAACAAGGTAAACCTCAAAACTTAATGTTAATGCTCATATCTTTTTAAATAATGAAGGTGGAATTTTTGTAACAATATTCTGGAACTCCTGGAGGTCTAGATCATACACCTTCAAAGTGGTGCACGACTTTTATTTAGGACACCCTATATAATAATTATTATATAGGGTGTCCTAAATAAAATAATAAAAGGAACTAAGGTTTAAATAAGAAAGTATTTAATATTAATTTTAAACACTGTGTATATCATAAATATGATTACATTAATAAGAATGCACTGAATAAAACTGAATCATTAATGTTAACATTCACTTTCAAGATATGATCATATCAATATTCAGTCAATAAATTCAATCCTGCATTTTTAGAATTAAAAATGTCTGATTATCATTTTAATGAAATGGACATCTATTGTAATTGTAAAAGCTATAAATATTCATATGGTTATAAACAATACTTTACCCAATTCACCGCATATTTGTGTGCAGAAAGTATCCCTGATGATTTGGCAGTTTTGCAGATTTATCTTCATGAATTTTTGTCCAAAAACAAAATATCCTACTCCACCACCAATAACAGCAGCTACCAAAATCCATGCATCATAGAGCATAACACTGAGCATTAAAATATATCCCATATTTTGTAACATCACCCATAATGACACCTCAGTTCCAAATAGCAGAGCCCTAAAAATAAATGTTTTGTCAGTAAATGAAAATAATGTACTAACCCTAAAATTTATTATCTTTTGATGGGCCTTAATATTAGTTTCTCACTAGTTTTTCAGTATTGGAAACCAGCTACCAGTAAGTCTTATAACCACATACCTGTGTTTTAAAGTTATATTTAAGGGATTTCTGGGGTCTACATTTTCTCCAATAAGGCTGGCACTTTCAGTAGAACATATCTGTTTTAACTGCTTTGATCTTAAAATCAATTCCCGTTGTCTATGTTTTGTCTGCAGATACCTTAAATACTCAAATACAAATGCCATTATTGCAATAACGATGCACAGCCCTATTAATCCGCCTAACGAATTTATCTCCAGTCCTTTAAATAGGTACACACCAACATTGGGGCCCCAAAAAAAGGCATCCTTCATTTTTGAAATTAGATCTCAAAACTACCGGAAAAAATAAGAGCAAACGCCACTACAACGTATTGTGATGTATGTGAAAAACATTTGTGTTGTCTGCGGTGTAAACCGATTTATAAATATTAAATTTTGTTATCTATCACCTTATCAGCTGATTACAATGTAATCATTCCACATGTTTTATTTATTTATTGACATTTGTATACTTTCTTTGTTTAACTTAAAGAGAAAGTTGAGATAGAGAAAATAAAAATGCAACAAGGCGGAAAAACAATAATAGCTGTGTTGCCATTAATATTTTACCCAATCTTTACAAAGATTTAATTTAATATTCTAATATTTTATTACTTACGAATATTAAACGAAAAATTACCTAGACGCTTCTCAAAATTAATTAAATCTCGTTATTTCACATTTTCGGTCGACAGACACTTAAAAGCGGTCGACTTGGCAACACTTTGTTTTCAAGATCGAAATTCAGGTCCTATTTTGACAGTTCAAAACAAATCCGAGTATATTTTTGTTATCTATGGTAAAATCTGGTAAATTTTGTAACAAAATAGTTGCGAATGTTATTGTTTTAGCAATATGATAATCGTATAATTTTTTAATAATGGCCCTATACGATAATAAGTACTGGCTTTTATCCCATATAAGAAACTCATTTATAACTACTGATGACACAGGTAAATATTTATTTTAATTTAATATCAAGCAGTGGTCTAGGAACTTATGATTAGCTTATTTACTTAAAGTCTAAAGTTTGGACCCTAGATTGTAAATCCCAGTTTTAGGTATGTTATATATAGTTTGGGTTTTGTTTGTGTTTTTAAAAACTTGCAAATCAAAAACAAAACTGAAACAAACCCGAAACTCTTGTTTCCATCAAGCAAAATAAATTTTGTTCGAGTTTTGTTTTTGTTTTCGGTCCTTTTCCACTAGTTGTCGTGATTATGTCAGAACACACTTTTTCAGTATCAACCAACATGTTTAGAGAAAAAGATTTTCTTATTCTTAGTTGTGGCTGGTTTATACTTCTTCGTGAATAACTTTTAAAGAATTAAATTTAGGCAAAAATGTTAAGAGACCTTTTTTGTAGAACATTAAATTTCGACGTGAGCTTTTTTAAATATTCATTGATTCATTAGTTACAAAATTTCAAAGTAAAAAGGGCAAATCGAAAAAACACATCGATTTATTAAGCTCAATTACTCGGAAACGGCTCGTCTGACGAAAATTTTCAATCAGACCTTTTTTGTAGAAAATTTAATTTTATATAAAAATAAGTGAAAAGGATTTTTTTTTCACTTCAATGTTTTGACAGTTCTAACGTAAAACATCAAATTATGACTAAAAATCAAAAATAGCGATGATAGACCTCTTAAAATTAATATTAAGGGCTCAAATTTTCACCAAATTTTTTAAATGACATTCTCGATATATTTTTCAAAAAAAAAATAGTCAATTTTTTTGGCCCAGTCTAATATACAGGGTGGTCCAGTTTGAGATACATTAATTTTAGGAGGTGATAGAGAATCAAAAATGAAGGGGACTTTTCTAATAAAATATTTTTCAAAAGTGCCTAATAAGGAAGCTATAGCCCTTCAAAGTGGGAAATAAATAATCGTTTTTTTAGCATAACTTTTGAACCGTTTAAACGATTTGGTTTAAATTTTAACCAAAGTTTGATAAAATAAGTCTTGTTCGACCAGTGATAACGCGTTTTATCAAAATAATTCAGGGGCGTAGATGATGGGGGGAAGCTCCCCTTTTTCCCTCCCCATTTTTCAACCCCTTGCTATTTTTATAAATTGTTTATATTTTTGAATTCAACATTAAATTTGAACAAAAAAGTTACCCCTGGAAAATTGTGACTAAAGACTTTGTTTTCGAGATATTCGAGTTTGAAGTTTTTAAAACATGTCGAAAATGTAGAATTCATGTTTTTGAAATGTAATATTTTTGCCCATTGCATGCCATGTAAAGCAATTTGAAATATGTAGGTAGTCAAATATATTTTTCTTCTGCGATATTCTCTAACGGCCGCTGCGGCATTTCCATTGCAGAATCCATAAACAAAATGTATGTCTGCAGACTCGGCAATGCTGAAGAAATTTGGCATTCTTCGTAAAGATATTTGACAAAATCAATCGGACAAACAGAAAATAAGTTTACCAAATATGCCTAAATGACATTTAGTGGAACATTTCGAGGCTTGACGTAAGGCTACTTGATCACTTTTCCTCAAAACTTTTTCCAAAATTTAAAGCTGAATTTGAAAATATGAAACAAACCTTTAAAAATCTGAATTGATTCCGAGAAGTATTAAAAACGATACTTACGAAAGAAAAATAAATTATCTACCTACTCAAAGTTATCCCTACGAAATGTCAAAAATCTATTAAAATCCGAAAGAGTAAGGAGTGCCTTTTAAAACCTGCTATTTTTGTTTGCATCAAATAAATAACGAAATTTAGATATGTTAAAAAAATACTTTGAAAACATGAATTGTGCATTTTCGATAAAATTAAAACACGAATATCTCAAAAACAAAGTCTTCAGTCACAGTTTTCCAGGGGTAACTTTTTTGTTCAAATTTAATTTTGAATTCAAAAATATAAACAATTTATAAAAATAGCAAGGATTTGAAAAATGGGGAGGGAAAAAGGGGAGCTTCCCCCATCATCTACGCCCCTGAATTATTTTGATAAAAAGCGTAATCACTGGTCAAACAAGACTTATTTTATCAAACTTTGGTTAAAATTAAAACCAAATCGTTTAAACGGTTCAAAAGTTATGCTAAAAAAACTATTATTTATTTCCCACTTTGAAGGGCTATAGCTTCCTTATTAGGCACTTTTGAAAAATATTTTATTAGGAAAGTCCCCTTCATTTTTGATTCTCTATCACCTCCTAAAATTAATGTATCTCAAACTGGACCTATATACATATATATATATGTGTATCTATTAAACTGATCCAGCGTTACAAAACAAATTCTCTATCCTCTATCTATAAAATAGTATATTATAGACTAGGCGGAGAAAGGTCATATTATAGCAGAGCACACATTTCACTGCCGAGGCGCCGCGGCGCGCCGCCGAGGCAGTAGATTGTGTGCGAGGTAATTAATAAGCTTTCGCCGCCGTGTATATACTATTTTTTTTCAAGCTCTAAATTTCGATATTTTTTTGAAATTTTGTAACCTCATTTTTAGGTTAGGTTTAACTGTCAGACGACAAAATGTCACCATTATTGTTCGGCGGTCAATAATAATTTGACTTTTGAACTAGTAGTCACTACATTATTGTACTAGTTCAAAAGTCAAATTATTATTGACCGCCGAACAATAATGGTGACATTTTGTCGACTGACAGTTAAACCTAACCTAAAAATGAGGTTACAACATTTTAAAAAACTACATTGTAGTATTTCTATATAGACTTATGAGGAATATAATATAAATATTATTATACACTTGGAAAAAATATGTTTCTTACTTACCTACCAATTTAGTATGAAATTCGTATCTATTCGTAACTAAATTGTAGTATTTATATATAGACTTATGAGGAATATAATATGAATATTATTATACACTTGGAAAAAATATGTTTCTACTACTACTTACCTACCAATTTAGTATGAAATTCGTATCCAGACAAATTAAAATAAAAGTCGAAAACAAAAAACACAACACGACCGTTTCCACTAAACAGACTCGAGTTTCAAAACACGTCGAAACCTTTTGATGTTACAGGCAGATTTTTTGCGCAAAAAGGTTGCTTCATTTTCAAATGGTCATTGTTCGGCTCGTTGGGGGATAGAGCAGTGTGTGTGGTTGCCACGGTCTTATATAAGACCGTGGTGGTTGCTTTAAGTTGGTACAGTGGCGGACACGGAATTTCGAACATCAAATCTCTGTCATTTCAAAAAATGTCAGTGCAAACCACACTTTAATTGCGAACAAGGAATTTCGAACATTTCTGACATGAAATTGATTTTTGTGATTATTGACGTTTATATATTTTTTTATTATTGACGTTTGTATTTTAAATTTGAAAGTGAATTTAAAGCGTCAACTTGACCACTGATATAGAAAATTCCAGCTGTATCTTGTGGGGATTAATGACAAAACGTTTAAAGGAGCGACGGATAGAAGTTCAAAATAGGGAAGAACTTGTCATTCCAATAACTGAAGCCTGGCAAGGGTTGCCATTGGATTACCACCGAAATCTGTCTCTCCATGCCGACTAGATTGGCACAAGTTATTCAATCGAAAATATTAGTAAATTAGAAAATATTAGTTTACATATTTTTGTTTAGTTTAATTTGAATATTACAAAATTTAATTATATTGTATATTAAATTATTTTAATTTGGTTGTCTTTGTGTGATTCTATAAATGGCAGAGATCATTAAATAAAATTTTGCTTTCGCTGTCATGATGACGCGTCATGACTGTCCGGAAGTAAGGTTAGTTGGGGCATTCCACGTTACTCGGTAATTTTTGTCCCGCCCGTCACAATTAAAAATTGTGAGTAAAAACCACAAGTTATAAAATTAATATTTTATAATATTATTTTTATTGTGCTTATAACTTATTAAAAGCATAATAAAACAATATTTTTAAATAAATTTTATAACGTGTAGTTTTTACTCACAATTTTTAATTGTGACGGGCGGGACAAAAATCCCCGAGTAACGTGGAATGACCCAGTTGTCATAAAGGCAGATTTAGATTTTGATGTCAAATGAATTATAAGTCGTTCAAAATTCCGTGTCCCCCACTGTTCGTGCATGCCATTTTCAGTTGTCATAATGAATCTGTCAGAAATATTTGGAATGTCAATAAAAATCAAACTGAGAGGTAAATCACAGATTATAAAACTAAATTACTTATTTTTAAAAATTAAAAATCGCTTACGAATTAACGGCTAAGCATAACAATAACAAGGGTAGTCATGCGCAACGCGTCGCTAAGCACTGATTAAGCAAGTTTTCCTTATTGATAAGCACAGATTATACAGCTTATAAGGAAAAAAATCACAACCCAACGTCCACTAACATTGAACGTTGGTCTCTAAGATTTTAAAGTGGTTTACCCCTCGAATCAAACTAAGAAAAAAGCTTTTTATTTTTAGGAATCACATTATTTCATACATTTCATGTTTTAAAAATAATATTTTTTAAATGACCGCCGTTATTGTCGATGCACATTTGAAGCCTATTAAGCCGGGTCTACAATTGTCGCAGGTCGCAGATCGCAGAACATAAGCTTGCGCAAAGCACCCAGCTGACAAAAGAACCTTGCTTTATCACCACGTCGCGGGGTGCTTTGCGCAAGCTTTTGTTCTGCGATCGGACCCCTGCGACAATTGTAGACCCGGCTTTACGACAGCTCATCATTGCTCTGCGCGCCATGTCAAATCAGGCTAATATCACCCCGTAAAGAGTCAACTTTGCCCGGACATTTTATTTTAAAAAACCCTCACGTAATTAATGGACCTTTAAAAGATAGAGAGCTTTTTTCTACTACCTTACTAGAAAACTTAATTTTCCACCCCCGGAAAAAAAATTTCCTCCCTCTTTTTTTTTAACAATTTTACATTAGCAAGAGTTTTTGTACCTTGTCTAGCCCTATTTGATTTTGTAGGAAAAAGATTTACTCCGCGCTTGTCCAATCATTCTTTGAACAATCTATATTTATTTGCATATCGCTCTTTCGATTTTTAAGAAAGGAAATTAATTGCTATTCTTGCCTCTTCAGCAAGATCTTGCGGCAGGTCTTCTTCGCTAGAACTCATTTTCAAAACGTAGGAAGAATTTCAAATTTATGATAAACATTCTGACAGCTTATAACAACTGTTATGTTTGTATTAAAAAAATACCATAGCAACGAAGCGTTGTTAACATAACGTCGGCGACGCAACACCTACTTAATATTTTGTCATAATTTTATAGTCCCATACCAGCTGGTTAGTAAAAGGAACCGGAACGCTTAAAATGTCTTAAAACCGTTAAAAGGTAATAGATAAAACTATATACTTACCTCAGGAGGAAAATGCTTTTCCTCCCTTGAATATTTAATGCCCTTCGCTTCGCGTCGGGCATCAAACTATTCGCGGGAGGAAAAGCACTATTTTCCTCCCATGGTATGTAAATAGCTACCGTAAATACGGGTGACTTTGCACCCCGCGGGTGACTTTAACCCATTTATGAAAAATCTTTTCGCGCTCGATAAAATTAACATTTATAATTTGTTGGTCTAAACCTGTCAATTGAGCGATACTATTGAGTTTATATTACAGGAAAATCAGTGTTTTAAAGAAAGAAATTGGATTTATTACCCTTTAAAATTGTATATATCGTATCAGTGCAAAACTCTTAGAAATACACGCGTTACAATTTCTATATTATGCGCAATCCATTGGAATGATGATCCTTGGTTAACTACAGGTCGATTTTTTATTTTTTTGATTGGTAATCCCTTGCAATAGATATATGTCGCTGCTAACACGTGTCTAATAAAAATAAGATATAATATTACATTCATTTTATACTGAAAAAACACTGTGAGACAAAGTAACCCGCAACCAGGGGGTAACTTTGCACACCCAGTTTTTAATGTTTATTTTTGAAACTCAGCCCTATGTAATATTATAACTTAGTTATTATGAAAGAGCAACTCAAGACTCAAATTTTGGTATACAAAATTTAATGTTTATGATTGTTAAAACCACAAAAATTTTAAGCTGAAGTTTGAAAGTGAGCCAAAGCCACCCGTGTTTACGGTATTCTTAGTTGATTTTTATTGACATCCCAAATATTTCTGACAGATTTATTATGACAACTCTAAAATGGCATGTACTATCGCTAACAAAAAAAACTCATACAGCTTAAAAATCTAGTGTTCCTGATTTTCTATCATTTTGTTGGAGTAATTATGGCTTTTAACATGATACGTCACATTTGAAAGGTCTAAAATTAAATACAAAGTTAGGTTAAAGTTTGAAAAAAAAATAATATTTCGTCATCCCTCTGTTTTGTCAATTACTGCCCGCAAACGGCATGGAAGTCGCCGTCTCGTTCCAAATGGCTTCAATGGCTTGCCAGAGTTCGTCTGCATTGTTTGATTGAAAATGTTGTTAAAAAAGTCATAATGGATGTGACAAATCTCGATGTCAGCTTGACATTGACGGAAAAGTTTTATTCACACAGCCACAATATAGCTGTATGAGTTTTTTTTGTTAGCGATATTACGTACCTACCTAAAGCGACCACGCGCACTGCTCTATCCCCCCACGAGTCAAGCAATGACCCTTTAAAAATGGGGCATCCTTTTTGCCGCACCCTGTATAAAGCTAGTTTTTTTCCCATGATAGTACCAAGTTGGTACTACCATATGTATGTATCAATGATGAAAGTGCAAATATGAGAAAAAACATGTTAAAGAGGAAAGTTTAGGTACCTAACAATGTTAGGCTAACATCAATTCTACTGCCATGCAACTGTAGTGGCAGATGCCCAACTTTATACTAATTATATTAAAAGTGACTGATAAATAACCCCAATTCTACTAGTCCGGGAGGCAGTGAAGATTTTCGGTACTTATTTTCCCAGTTTGTGAATGTCATTAAGTTTGTTCAAATGGTGACACAAAACGACAATTTGTGTGTCTGGCTAAAATTTTCGGATGGGTTCACTAGATGAGCCAAAAAGTCAAGTCCACTTATTTTCCCAGTCATAAATATTTCACATTAATTAAAGTGAGTCATTTTATTAATGGAAATAACAGTCTGGCACATCCCAAGTGAAGGAAAGTCAGTCTGGCTGAAAATTTGCGGAAGCAAAAATTTGACCGGTTTTTGAAATACGTAGCCCTTATTTTCCCATGCTTAAAATTTAACTCATTATTTGGTACTGTCATAAACTATAATCAAAATTAAGTCTGGCTGATTTATGAAATTGGCAAATTGTTCTGGCGGCATCTTGAAAATCGTAAGAATTACAAAAATTTTGCTCTTATTTTCCCGGATTTGAAAATTTGTCACATGATAAATAATACTATAATTTCGTAGAAAATACACGTCTGGCTGTTATTTACAATCACGAAAGCCCCGCCAGACTCACAAGTCAGATAGCAGAAACTCGCGTTTGAATGGGAATTTTCGCGATTTTCTTTTTTTTTATTGATATAACTCAAAAACTAAGGGAGATACAAAAGACTGTCAAGAGATCGATTTTGTAGATAATCCTACAAAAAACAACTGCACAAATTTTCTCGTATCTCTGATAGTTACAAAGTTATTCGCGAATAAAGTTTTTTGGTGGCGGACGGACTGACATTTTTTTTTAGCCATATTTAAATTTTGCTTTACACAAATTATTTTCTTATCATACATTATGAAAAGTAAAAACATGTAGAGATGACAACAATCGCCTGTATAATTGAACATGCCGAATTTAGCGCGCCTGTGGAGGGTTGGACGAGTCTGGCAAGGCTTTCGGAGTGTTCCACATTAGCCAGACTATATTTGCAGCTGTAATTATAATATAAACTATCATCTCACACAATTTTTAGGACTGCCAAAATAAGGGCAATGGTTTTGATAATTTTTCCACCTGCCAGACATATTACCCATACTCCTAGACCATACTCACAGATTAGCCAGACTATTTTTTTTTCTTAAGTTCACTATATCTCTCACTAATGGAATTATTTTTATCACTGGAAAAAAAAGTGCAATATATTTGTACTTTATAACGCATTTTCCGCCTTAACCCATCGGAAAACCCCCCCCTAAATATATATAAACTTTGCTCAGAATAACAAACCCAATAATTGTATCGGTGTTTGCCGACTGGGAAAATAAGTACCGAAAATCTTCACTGCCTCCCGGACTATACTGAAAGTGACACATTCAAACGGTGCGCGCAGTTGTTGCACTTTCAACATTGATAGTGTCTAAACTATCATGGGAAAAAAATCTAGCTTTATAAAAATGATTTCACAAAAACTGTCTCTACCTTCCAGACTATTATATTTTTGGGTCAGATTACTAACCCTGTGTTAATAAATGAGTAAAAATCTTAAAGCGGTTTCATATAGATGAGAAATGCGAAATACGAAAAATGTTTTCATTGGTCCATTTGATTTGGAGGGAAAAGCGTTTTGACGTTTCGACAGATCCTGCAAGTTCGCAAGATTTGAAATCTGGGGGGCGGGAATCTTGAGATTGATTCAATATTTTGCGAAAATCGCACGAATTTGCCGTCTTCGTTTCAACAATAAATAAGCGCAATTGCACGCCTTCGTCGCCAATGGTATAATTGCCACTGGTATAATTGTTCATCCATAATAAAAACACAAAGTCTCAATTAACATAAAACAACAAATAGAAAATGTTAACCAAGTATGGCAAATAGAAAAGTCCCTAAAATACCATGACAAATATCACCTAGTGAAAAAAAAATGTCCCTAAAATAGGAGTTGCGAAATGCGAATATTCGCATTTGGCATCTATATGAAACCCCTTTTAGATGTATATAACTTTTACTTAAAAAATTGTTAATAAAATAAAACTTGTAACTACCTAGACAAATAGAGTTTAAATCTTGGATTTCTTAAGTCTACTTCCTATTTTTACACAAAATTTAATTTCTTCAGCTAGAATGAATAGGTACACATTTTAAGACATTAAATGTCTTAATGTCTTAAATTTTACCCAAAAATAATTATTTATTTTGATCAAGAGCAAATAAATTAATAACAGTACTGTAGGGAGGTGAAAATATCACAGCTAAACGCTCGGACACGTAAACTTAATTTTTGGTCCTAGATTACAAATGCGCGCGTGCTTGGTTTAGCTGTATCAGGTCAAAATTCAAGGATATTAAAAACACCGTGTATAACTTTAAACACCCAGCATATATTTAAAAAAAAATTAATTTTGCTGGATCCACACATCAGTTTCAAATTAAAAAAAAAAACAAATTATTGCTAACTTTGAAGTTAATTGATCAAAATGAACAGGGGTCCCTGAGAGTTTTTTATCTATAGATAGTTTAGGAAATTCAAAACGTTTTTATGCTATTTTTTTTAATTGAGTATAATTGAGGATATTATATAACATTGTTTGTTGAAATAAAAAGCATAGGAATGTTGGCACAGGTGAAATATATTATTTTACAAATTATAATATATTATAATATATATATATATATATCCGACAGGAAAAACTTTTTTAGACCTGATACAGCTAAACCGAGCACGGATTTGGAATCTACGAGTCGTAGATTCCAAATCATGCCCATAGCTGTATCAGGTAGATTTCGACTAAAAATTATGTTTACGTGTCCAAGCGTTTAGCTGTGGTATTTCAAGAATTGAAAATTTACCTACAGTGTAATTACATAAAATGTAAATAAGTAAATTCTTAGGTTTATGTGAGCTGGTTATGATGGGAGACACAAAGGACATAAAAAAGCACATTCTCTCACAAGAAACTTATTCGGAACCAGAAGGCAGTGAAGATGATGAAGATGAATTAGAACCTCAATCATATGATATTGAAACCGAATTTGAATTTGGTAGGGAAAGATCGAACACTGCAGTGCAACTGGAGAAATTTGAGAACAAAAAGAAATTGCACAGAATAAAACACATCAAATGGGAAATGGATAAATCATTGCCAGAAAACTATTTTGATGATTTGTTTGTGAAAAGGGATGTTAGGGGAATTAAGGTGGAGACTAAGACGTCTATGGTATCAGAAGTTATTCAGAAGTATACTAATTTACCAGTGAATCCGTTTATAGATTATGCCAAATTTGATGGAAGTGGACAAGTGAATATTCCTACAAGAAAATATAAAATATTTTTAACAATGTTACCTGAAAGTTTAAGCAATTACCCAATAGGTATTTGTTGTATTGCATCAGCTAAAGTTGAAGAGTTAATTGGTTTAATTTTGCTGCAATTAAGGTAATTTAAATTAAACATTTTTGCATTTCTTTTATTAATAGTTAAGTTTCATTTTAATATTTTTCCATTTTTGCATTTCTTTTATTAATAGTTAAGTTTCATTTTAATATTTTTCCATTTAAAAATTATTTTAATCATTATTTTAAGTTTAAATCATCCTGATGTTCCTATAAAAAGTACAAATCATTATGGTTTGTACATAACTGAAGAAGATGGTGAAGTAGACAGTGATTTTCCTTGCTTGAGTGCAAAAGAATGTATTGCAAAGTTTTCATTTAATTGTTTGGGTTTAGTGGAGCATAAAGATACAAGAACAGTTACATTTGATAATAGTGTAATGATAGCAGGGAATTCACATGAAAATAATTTAAGGAAAAAAGCAATAAGAGGTAAAGTAAATTTTTGTTTAAGATGATGTCCATATCAAAAGATCCTTCCCCTGTAATTTAAAAATTTATAAAAGACAGTTTTTAATAAGTTAAGTTTATTAATTACAATTAAAGGAAATTAACATACCCATCTACAACATTTGCTGCCTTGTCAAAAATTTATTTTAGTTTTTATCAGAAATCTTTTTTTTGAGACATTTGGATTTGAGACACTACTCCAAATCAAATTAAATCTAAAATGACAACTGAATATGACTGGATGAACCAACCAATAAACTTTTATTTATGTATTACCTAATAATATATTGCATTTATAAGTTATAAATTATAACGTAACTTCATCACACGATTGAAGCGTTGGAAACTCTTCGTCTATAACCAAAAAGCCCGGTCAAAACAAAATTTTTCGGTCATTCTTACTTTATCCGTAATATAAAATAACCTGACGTGGGGATAGATTTAATTCTTAAAAATGTCTTTTTTAGACTCAAAATTGGAAGAAAAGCGAAAATTGCAAAACATGAAATTAATAGATGTCCACAACAAAGCAATGGAGGCCCCTTTATATCAATCATACAGAGTTTATAAAATGCTGAATAGAGTAAGAGGAAAAGTGGAAATTCATTTGGGAATCAGTGGTGAAAAAATTGAAATTGACCCAATTCAACAGAAAAACTCCAAATTTCCAAACTTATCCAAACAAAAGGCGATAAGCCATCACATGGACACAATTGCTTGGTGTGAAATTACTGATGTTAAAAATAGCAAAACATGTTTTAAAATTGTTTACAGTTTAACGTTTGGAGGGTCTGTTCCTAATACTGCAGACAACAGTTTTGGATGTATGTATTTTCTTAATTTACCACCAAATTACACCAAAAATTCAAAATAAAACTAAACTTTCTTTTGGACAAAATTAAATAAGTTCCTCAAAATAATCCAGTTTTTTGGGAAGTATTTATAGTAATCCAGTTGGTTTATATAAATATAATTAACTTAACTAATTTTGTCAACTATACCGTAAACACGGGTGGCTTTAGCTCACTTTCAAACTTAACATTTTTGTAGTTTTAACAATCATAAATATTAAATATTGTATACCAAAATTTGAGTCTTGAGTTGCTCTTTCATAATAACTAGGTATGTTATAATCTTACAGAGGGCTGAGTTTCAATAATAAACATTAAAAACTGGGTGTGCAAAGTTACCCCCTGGTTGCGGGTTACTTTGTCTCACAGTGTATTTTCCGTATAAAATTAACTAAATATTTTATTTTATTTTTATTAGACATATGTTAGCAGCGACATATCGATGACTTTCTGCCAAAGTATCGCAAGCAACATAACTCAAATTTCGGGAATTGAACACATTTTTTGTTTTAAAGTCTGTTTTAAATTAAATATAGCCTAAAGGTTTTATAACAAGTAAATAGCTATAATTATAAGCTAAGTAATTACTTGTTATAAAACCTTTAGGCTATGTTTAATTTAAAACAGACAAGCAAAATGTTTTCAATTCCCGAAATTTGGGTTATGTTGCTTGCGATACTTTGGCAAAAAGTCATCGATATAGCAATTGCAAGGGGTTACCGATAAAAACAATAAAAAATCGACCTATAGTTAACCAAGGATCATCATTCCAAAGAATTGCGCATAATATAGAAATTGAAACGCGTGTATTTTTAAGAGTTTTGCACTAACGCAATATATATAATTTTAAAGTGTAATAAATCCCATTTATTTTTTTAAAACACTGATTTTCCTGTAATATAAACTCAATAGAATCGCTCAATTGACAGGTTTAGACCAACAAATTATAAATGTTAATTTTATCGAGCGCGAAAAGTTTTTTCATAAAAGGGCTAAAGTCACCCGTGTTTACGGTATCCATTTCAAATATTATATATTGTATTCATTTTTAGCTTATAGTTTTTCACCGGTTCTGCAGACTTCAGCAAGTTTTAAACATTATGAGTTTGAAACTGATAATTCTACAGCCCTAGATATTGTACAAAAAATTAACTCCATATTGGAATTACGATCCAGTTCTAGTCGAAAAGAGTATATTGCAGCTAAGGAAAGAAAAAACTACAAAAGAAAATCATTTAATTTAAGCAAAAAATAGTAATAATGAATACTGGAATATATAATAACTTTATTTATTGTATTACTTTATTATTTAAATAAACTGTTTCCTGTTGTATTTTATGTTCTACTTTTTCATATTTTCGTTTTTGTAGGTTAATTTCAATTTTTATCTTAATATCCTCCACTGCTGTTATATGCTCATTAAAATCGATAAGGGAAGACAAAAAATCCAATTGTTCCATAGTTAAAATTGTATCATCAAAAACACTTTGTATTACTTTATTATTTAAATAAACTTATTAACTAAACTGTTTCCAATCTCCTGTTGTATTTTATGTTCTACTTTTTCATATTTTTGTTTTTGTAGGTTAATTTTAATTTTTATCTTAATATCCTCCACCACTGTTATATACTCATTAAAATCGATAAGGGAAGACAAAAAATCCAATTGTTCCATAGATAAAATTGTATCATCAAAAACGCTTTCCTTTAAATATTTAGTTTGCCTAAAATAAATATATTAATATGGCATATTTCTTTTAAATGAATAACAAAAATAAAATAAGTTAAAAGTAACAAAAATAAAATAAGTTAAAAGTAACAAAAATAAAATTTTATTAAGAATTTGCTATAGACAAACCAGGCAACCTCCCAGGCATTTATTGATTTTTTACTTATAATTTTTAATCCTCTTATAGGTGCACAAATAATATACTTAAATAGTTGTATTTAATATTTTAACAAATATTAAATTACCTATTTTTTAAATCATAAAATAGGTGGAAAAAAAATTGGTTAATATTAAATTTTAAGACTCACCAATAAATTAAAATTAAAAATATTTTCTTTAATTTTTGTTTGTAAATTTAATTGTCTGGTTATTTTAAGATAAAATCGCAATATTTTAAATTATCTCTGAAATCACAATATTTATGCATTATTGCAATTTATTCTTTACCTTTTTAGTGAAGAATTAAATTTAGTAACAAAAAAATTTCTAAAAATTCTAAAAAGTATTTTTAAACTCAGTTTTAGATGCAATTGGCAAGGTTAAGATTTTTTTCGTTTGGATATAATTATTGCTGTTTTGAAAAAAGCGGAGGTTCTTCTAATTTTTATATTTGTCTTCAAATACAAAAAAAATTGGGACGATATCCAGGCCTGGGTCAAAAAATGTTGTTAACCTTCGAAGAAATTCTAATATAGACCACTTACGCTTCAAGTTTAGCTCTTAATTCGTGATATTCTGCAGTGCTTTTTTCCATTTTTGCCATTTCAGCTTTTAATTTGTCCTTATAATAATCTGGATATTCCAATATTCCCGGAATTGGAAAATGGGATAGCGACATCGGTCGCTCTTCAAACAATGATCTTCTTGACATTTTATATTTAAAATTAATTAAACTTTAATACTATTATTTATTTTCTTATAGGTATATAATATATATATTATACAAGGTTTGTAACCATAGATTAGATAAAGTTTGTAACTGACATTCAACCCAACTGTCAAATTCAAATTTCAAGCCTTCATCACATGGTTGCCAGATTTAATTTGCTACGAAACCAAAGAAACTTCAGTACAAGGGAATTCTTAACTGGGTGGCGATTCTCGAGTTAAGAGAACGCTTCTCATAGGAGAAGTGGGCATTTCTCTCAAGTTTTGATAGGCTGCATTATTGAATTTAAGATAAGTTAGTGCGTTCTTCTCTCGGAAACTCTTTTCTGCTTTAGGAAAACCAAACTATTGCATGATTTTAAGAATGCAGCCTGTCAAAACTTAAGTGAAACACGCCCACTTCTCATGAGAATAGCGTTCTCTCAACTCGAGAATCGCACCCCTGCCCTCTACTGATCAATAGTTGCGGTTTGTTTATAATTTATCTATTGACATTTCAAATGTCACTTTTGTCAATGTTTTTGACAACCGAAAAAACAAAAATGTAAACCAATTCTACTTAATTGATTGGAAAACTGTTTATACACATTCCTACGGCCTAATAATTTTGTGAAATTAAGAAAAAATGGATATTTTGGCTATAATTTTCTTAGTGGGTGTTTCAATATTATTTGGAATTATTTTAACTGTCTGTCTACAATATTATATTTTATACATTTATCTAAAAAAGGCTCCTGAAGTAACACCCTTTGAGAGACGTAATTCTATTGATTATACTTTGCCAGAGGTAAAAATTAATTAATTCAAATATAAATACTAAATATTATCTTTTTAGACATTAAAAAAGCAATTGGAAAATGAAAATAAAAAAGACAACAATTGTAGTTTGCCTATAAGCTTGATTTTACAATTTTTATTTCATGAGTTAAGGCATTCTGAATATATTAAAAGATGGCTATTTAAAAAGTTAAGTGTAGAATTTGACGAACTTTTAACTAAGACTACAATTGGGAAGTTCTTTGACAGTATTAGTGTTAGTATTATAGCATAGCCCTATATCCATTTGTGGATAAAATTTATTATGTTTTATATTTTGCAGATCAAAGACATGCATCTAGGAAATGAGTTTCCAGATATAAAAGATATTACATTGGATAAGGTTAAATTGGATAAAAAAGAGGGGCACATTGATACTGTAAGCTTATGCCTTAATTTGGATTATAATGGAAGTTTTTTGCTAAGTGTTGATGGCAAAATGAAATTTGGAAAAACTGCTTACTTGTCTATAACAGGTAAAAAAACAATATCACAATGTTACACAATTGAATCAATTTGATTTATATTGTAAATTATAACATAACATTAATAACACTATTTAGGTAATTTATTTAATATTTATCTATTAATATATATTATTATATATATTTATATTCATTAGTATTAACTACTAGGTATAAGGTACTATGGTCCACACCAAAAAGTCTCGACTTAGATACAAATAATCTTTGGATACAAATAAATAAGGTTAATTTTCTGTCAGTGTCAAGCTAATTTTATCCTATTTTCTGAAAATAATGCAATAGGTATATATTTTATATATGGGCCATTTCATTATTTTATATTATTTTGGCATCAAAATTTTCAAGAATATTCTTTTATTAGGCTATACATTAAATAAAAAAAACGCAAGAAATATTTTATAAAAGAAGAGATAATTTCAATAATGGACAGTAACTGTTGTGGATGGGACAAGTTAAATCTTTTTTGTCCCATCCACAACAACTGTCCATTATTAAAATTATCTCCACTTTTATGAAATATTTCTTCCGTTTCTTGTATTTATTGTACACCCATTGGCGTAACTAGCCATCTGACCCAGGGGGGCCTAGGGTGGTCCAGTTATTGTGACTAGGAATCTTTAAAAAAGTAAAACAAATGTCTCCAAAAGGCAAAAATACCAATTTTTTTTATCAAACAGTGAGAAAGGGAGTACTTAAGTATACTATAGTACTTACTAAGTACTACAATGTGATCTTGAGGACGCGTCCAAATATAATTAATGACCGTTTGTACCGCGCATGACCGTTTGTTGATACAATTGCTAGTTGCGAGCTTACAGGGGCGGTTTTAAAATAGGTACCTACTTACTCGTATTTTGAAAGTTGATAAAATACAACCTAAGATATGTAAATGATACATACATATTTCTATTGCAAATTTGGTAATAACAAAAAATTATAACAGATAAAAGTCAGCCTTTTCCTGGGGGGGCAGCGATGTCTGGGATGGCAGCGATGTCTGGGGGGGCCCGGCTGTATACAACTATAGTTAGGCCAATGTGTACACCTTAATAAAACAAGAATATTTTTGACAATTTTTAAGCCAAAATATTATATAAATGAATTACCTACAATTTTTTTATAAAAACATTTTGAAATAGCTCATAAATTAGCTTGACACTGACAGAAAATTAACCTTAATTATTTGGATCATAGACCAAAATGATTTGGATTAAAGTAACGTGGTGGAACTTTTAGGTGTGGAGCTTAGTACCTATAGGTACTAAGCTCCACACCCAAAAATAGTATAATAGGTATACCTATTATACTATTTTATTCTGCTGGGTTAATTTAAAACGGCGTATCTACAATTTTTCCGTTTTTAAGAAAAAAAGAGTATCTGCATCTTTACATGCATGATATGATCTCGTTTCATTAAGAAAGAAAGGCGTAACAGACACTAAAAATCATAAATCATATAGGTATCTGATATTATAACAGATATATGATTTTTAAAGTTTTATGATTTTTAGTATAATACTGAAATGCATAGTAAATCTTACATAAACCGACATCCTCTGCAAAAATTTTTGACAACTTTTTTTTAACACCAATTTAACAATCAGACCATGGTATTCTCTGTAGCAGTCTAGTGTGCAGTAGAGAATGCCATGCTCTAATAGAAACTTTGTATATTTCTCGGCCCTTAGTGTGAATATTAATTTATGTATTTAAAAAAATTGGTTTATTTTAATTGATTTCTATCATTTTATATTGTTTTTATCATTTTCTATTGTTTAAAAATTTCATCAAGATATGTTAAAACTTTTAACTGAACTAAAGATCTGAAATTCCAGTGTTAAATTGATAAAAAAAATTTTTACAATTTAAAATTATTTTTAGTAAAAAAAATTTGCGGGATGGGAAGACTTCAGTTTTCAAGACATCCCTACACTCATTGGTCATTTAGTTTTTTTAACGACCCCATTTTGGACTTGGCAGTGGAATCTCATTTTCAGGGCAGGCAATTGCAATCAAACATAACTAATTTAATTGTAAATCAAATAAAAAAAGCAATTAAACGCAAGCACACCTTACCCAACTACAAAATAAGGTAAGTAGTCGTTTTTTAAAACATTATATGTATTTATTAAAAATATTATATGTATTATTATTAATTTTGTGCATTATAGATACAAACCATTCTTTGTTAAAACTGATCCAAGTCAGTTGGACACAGAGGACAATGAAATAGTTTCTCAAGGCCAATTGGGGGTTTCATGTGTTGAGGTTTCTAGATTATCAACACCAGCCACCGTACAACATATTTACTGTACTTTTGCTATAGGTAATATTTTTATAATTTTTAGAAAATGTTTCTAGTAACGTTTGCTTTAAGAAATTCATCATCCTTAGGAAAAATAATTTATAGGTACCTATTTATGAACTGAAAGTTTTCAATAATTGTGTTTTGTGTATTTAATGTATTATAAAAAAAACGAAACTTAGACCTATTTTGACTCAAGATATCACTAGTTGTACACATATTTTTCTGTACTCTAAAGCTCTCTAAATTTTAACATCAACACTTTAAGATATGTCCTGACCAGTGTCTTATATAAGACAGTACATGTTTCTGACAATCAAAGAAGCAATTATTTACATTAAAAAAAAAAACTAAAATATAAATGCTGAAGTTTAAATTTATTAAAAAAACATTTTAATTAAACTTATATAAAATAATATATTTTAGACTTCATTCCTTGGATCTCCCTGTATCAAAAAGACGACTCGTTCTACATGATACTAGAAATTACTGTGACAAAATTGCGACAAGCTCCGCTAGGCATAATATTCAAGCAAACACAAAATTCCATAACAATTGACAGTGTTGCCGCTAAAAGCTGCGCATATCGTTCAGGTTTAAAACCTGGCGACGTTGTGTTGATGGTCGAAAATAAAACCGTAACATCCGTACCACAAGTGGCCAAACTCATTAAGTCCATTTCCGGGGCTTCTATAACGCTAAGAGTTGAGAGAATTGCCGAAAATTATGTGCTGAGAAACAAGTATAATGATGAGAATGATGTAAAGGTATGTATTTTTATTAGTCATAATTAAATAGTATATTGTTCACCGAGCCTGGAATCATAGCAATTACTCCCGATGATTAAAGTTTCGGAGCGAGCCCATAGGTGAGTGAAGGAATTCATTGAGGGAGTAATTGCGATTCCACTTGAGGTATACACTATACTTTTTGTCGAGTGGAATCGTTGCCAGATTCTGTCAAAAAAATAAAGATCATTTTGTGACAATTTACCTTAATTACAAAAATGACACAATCAACAATACTTAGGTAACGTCAAATTCACAATTTGCATTGGTACTATTGGTAATATGTACTTTATTTTTTTTGACAGAAACTGGCAACCCTAGTCATATATAAAGCTGACGTTTAATTTAATTCAAAGTCAATCACACTGTAGCGTCGTCATGGTATATAAATTTAAAGTCACATTTCATAGTGGTATTGTTGCTTAGAAAATGAATCTTTTCATTGGCAAAGCAAAACTTAAAGTGACTTTACTGTGTGAAAAGAAATTAATTATTTTGTTTTGTATTTGAAAATAATACAAAATAAAAGGGTAAAACTAATAACTATTACCTGATAACAGGGAGAAAATGAAAATATATACAGGGAAAGGAATAAAATTGTTCACAGCAGGAGAAATGAATGTCATTAATTATTAACAATTGCGAATACAATCGGCGCATAATTAACCACTCGACAAAAAATACTTTAATGAACCCTACTCCATACTTCACATCCTTGCACTGTTCATTCTTGCATAGAAAAAGCCTATTTCTCCCAATTAAATAGTGACGCAAACAAGCAAGACTTTGGCGTTTGTTTTTCTTGGTAAAGTTAATAGTTTTTTTTACATTTAATTAATTTAAATATTTTTTGTTTGTAAAATTGGTTGTAAAATAATAAACATGCATCTATTTATCCATCTATATTTTGTTTATACTTTATGATTAGGCAGTACTAGTACTATTTTCCTGACTTTCTGGTTCTCGCATTAAAAAAACCCTATTTTCCGTACTCTTAATACTGTTTTGTAGACACTGAATACCTCAATTGAAAGTGAAATAGAACAAGAGTTGACACAAACTGAACAAGATAATTTTGTCATAGTCGATAAAAAAGAAGGGGGAGATGTAAAAAAAAACAAATGTTTAAGCAATCTAGAAAAATTTAAGTCATGTGATAAAGTAAAAATGATGTCGTCAAATGAAAATATGTCGAAGATAGCGCAGACAATTGGAAACTTCAGGTTTGTCACCAGTTGTTTAATAAGTGTTTCTTAAATTTTTTTAAATCTTTGATATTTTATAGTTTAAGAAAAAGAAAATCATCGGCGACCGATAAGCCTTCTGGCGAGAGTAGTACCAAAACGACGCCAACATCTAGTACGCCAGGAACTCCCCAGCATACGTCAAACAGCCTTAAGGTGGTACCTTTAAATAGTTTGACAGCCAAAAAACATTCTATCTCAGAGCTGCCCGAAATAATAAAAACCGATCTCGAAGGTTTAAACACCGAAATAAGCGTCACCGAGGCCTATAGAGGGAAAGAACTACTGGCCGCTTCGGTTATGCAATTCTCTGACGACTATCAGTTTAATTTGAAGGAAGGGATGAAATACTTGAACATAAACGTCTGGGGCACTTGTGCAGACGAAAAAGACGTTCTTCTCGGCTACACCAACATCCCGGTTAGCCACATTCTAAGCGAGTGTTGCAACAGCGTTTTGGGACACTACATCAGACGGTACTCATTTTTGCCGCCTGGAAATGCCGTGCCCACCAATCAAACCCATGCGCTGCTCTCGCACTCTGGATTCGAGCACGTATTTTGCTACGGCGATGTTTTGTTGTCCTTCGTCTGGAACCACCACGACGATATCGAACTGAAAAGGAAAATGTCCACTGTGAACTTGGAGGCCGAGGATAAGTGTACAGACGGCAACACCGCTGCTACGAAACATGATTTTGTCAGGACTCAGTTTCATAGAACCACCCACTGCGATTTTTGTTCAAAAAAGGTAGACATTGTGTTTGTTTTTTTGTGTCTCACAAGTCAGGCGATTTCTGAAGTTTAAGGTAGTATCTCCATTTGAAGAGTTTAATAAATAGCAGTAGGCCGTGACAGCAAATTCAGCGGTGCCAATATTGTAAAAACCAAATCTTGTATTTTAATCAGCAAATTAATACTTTGTTACAAATTAAAGTATCATTAAAAACTAAACATAATAGTATATTATGTATCAAGTTTTATAAACGCCATTTTAGTAACGAGTTTTATTAGGCACGAAGCTTGCGAGCGAGTGTTTAATAAAAACAAGTGTCTATAAAAGTTTATAAAACGAGTTGCGTACCATACTTTATCTACGACGAACAGAAAGAAGAAAGCCAATTTTAATTTATAAATATTTGACATTTTAACCTCACTTTTTCGAAATTTATAATAAAGCTAACTTCAGCCCGTGACTAAAACGCCCAAAAACCCTGTTGTTAACTTCAGCCCGTGACTAAAACGCCATAAAGTCACAGCTCTTCAGTGTAGGAGTAGATAAAAAGTAATTAAGTAACAATATAAATTGTGAATTTGTTCTAATGTCAAAATAAAGGTTTAAAACTGTCATATTTTTGTGTGTCTTAAATTGGCAGCACAAAATTTTAAATGGTAATTTTAAAAAGTGCTTTAAAAATTGTTTTTTGAGATTTTCATAAAAAATATACTGTAATACTTAATTTTTAAGCTATCAATCCTCTTTGGTTGCTCTAGTTTAAAAATGATTTTTTTAGAAAATATTTGGAAAATAACACTTGTGCAGAAGTGTTATTTCCCACAGATTTCCCTTCTCATACATTATTTCAAAAATTCGTTTCCAAACTCGGAAAACAAAATAGGATCATTATGAGCTGGAGATATACAAAATAAAAAATGGCGTAAATTTTTGGAATCTGTGCTGTAAAAAAACTAAAATTATTTGTCTGATGCTTCACAAAATTATATATTCAATTTTGAAGATATTCTATAAACTCTTTAAATGGAAATACTACCTTAAGCCACGGACTTGTAATTTTATTAGCGTTATTTTATGTATATTAATAAATTATCTTATCAAATATTTTGTTTACGTATTACGTACAATTACAATTATCTTTTTAAATTTTTAAATTAAAGTTATTTTTTAAAACTGATTACTTGAGCGCTAATTATATGCAACAAAACGATTGAAATATACAGCATAAAAATGCTTAAAATATGCTTGACAAGTGAGTCAAAATATGCAACATTAAGTAATAAAAAGCTCGTGTCTAGAGGCGGGACTTAACTAACGTCATAATTTGACGTCACAAACGTTAATCCGTATTAAGCTTAATTTTCATGTATCCGTTTGTCCGTCATCCGTATGTCAGTTTTTCAATAAAATCGTCCGGCAAGAAATGTTCTAATTTTCATGCATCCGTAATTTAATGACGTTTAACGGATTAATTTTGCGACAAATAGAAATTAAGTGTCAGTATATTTACTTACTAAATTTACCTAATGCTTAATTGTCATAGTTACAATTATGTCAACAATTGTAACTTTAACAGTTAGCTGTCTAATAAATTTAAAGGTAGGTAAATATACCTTATAAAAAGAATATACTAGCCCTAATATACATTAAAATGTATAGTTTTAAAAAAGCAGGTCCTTTTAGTTCTAGTTTTAATTTTTTTTCGTTTGTCCTTTGTTTTTTTTTTCGTTATTCTTATTAAATAAAAACTTAACAGTAAAACATTATTCACATAACGAACGTAATATTTTCGTTTTACAATCTTATTGAAAAAATATAAAAATATTTGAAAATAAATTATCTTAAAATAACGTTAGGCGTCAAAAACAGATGTTTAGTGACGGATGAGTTAAAATTATTTAACCTTTCTCTGTCAGACGTACGAAGTTGAAACTTGACGGACCGATAAAATGTCATAATTTTCGAATTATAATTGGACCAATAAGAGCGCTCCCGGATGAACGGACTGACGGACAAACGGATACATGAAAATTAAGCTTTATTCCCTGAACGTTATAAGCATAGAGCCTACACAAGGAGTCCGAAGTTCGGACTCCGAACTTCATATAAACAAAAATCTTCTCAAGATAAGAGGGCGCTGGTGTTCCGTTTATTCTTAAACAATCAGCGCCGCTGTTGGTGAAAAAAACGACTTAATTTGTGCAATTTAGAGGGCAGGTTTTGTCAATTTTCCCTATTATGGTTATGGTTATAAGATTGATATTAAGCTGGGTAGCTCAGATGGTAAAGCGCTCGCTTAGCATGCGAGAGGTACTGGGTTCGATACCTTGCGCCCTCACAACTTTTTATTTTATGAATTACCTAACGAAACGACACAATGTAGCATTAAAAAGCATTAATATTTAATTTTACATTAATATTATAGATTATTTACCCTTCCTTATTATTTTGCTGCGGTAATATAATATACCGTAATATACCTTATATGTAATTAAATGAATATTCCTTTATTGAAAAGAGTTGGGTTGGGTTGGTTGGTTGGTTTGTTTTAGTTTTATCGTAACAATTACATGAAATTGTAAAGTTATGACGTCATCGTGACTGTAGACACAACGTAAAAATAGTATTTCTCGCAAACTCGACAATATAAAACAATTTTGTAGTATTTAAATATTCCAGAATAGAAAAAACAATAGACGCGTGGCTGCTAAGTGCAACACGTGCCGATCGACTTTCCTTTGGTGGACGTTTGCCGAAAAGAATTTGCTGTACAGAACGAGCTGTACAGGTTTGTCATATGAAATTTAGTAACACTACTGAAAAATATTGTAAACATAGCGAAAATATGCATTATCACTAGATTTTAGGTAAAATATGCAATAACCGGTAAAAATGGGTTTTATATTCAAATATAATCCGGGCCTTTCTGACTTTTTGGTTTTAATTAAATATTTTATTTATTTACAAAAATGTATAAAAATTAAAAAGTAATACTAAACCATTGATTGACTTTGAAGTAAATCCATGATATTAATGATAAATTTAGTCTGGCCTTAAATAAATATTACAACTTGGAATTTCCAAGCCTGAACTGAACTGTTTCCGTTTACTAGATCTGGTTAAAGGACGCCGTTCAATGCAGACAATGCGGGATGTGTTGTCACAAAAAGTGCATCGTGAAATGTCAAATGAGCAGTAACTGTAATCCTGGCGATGCGAGCCTAAGGAGCGATAGTTCCGAAGGCTTGCCGTCCGATATGGCCATGGTGGAAGTGGGGGACGAAATTACCGATACAGAACACGGAGATCCCAAGACGCCTGTTAACATAAAAAGAGTTAACAGTGTCAACAATCTTGCAATACCAGGTAACTGATTTTTTATACTAAAATTGAATACCTTAATTTGAAATTTGTTTTTAAACCAAGTTAAGTTGAAGTTCTTAAAACAACTTTATCAAACTTAATATGACTGTAACATCTAGCTTAAGTTGACATTCTTAAGAATGTTATGCCTATTTTAAACAAACCCAGCAAACACATAAGTCTGATTATGTAATGGCCCATTACATAGTTTCATGGCTTAATAATGGAATTTTTACCCAATGTTTTACTAAACATATTAATTTTGATAAAAGGCTGTCGTAATACTATACAATCTTTAACACCCCATATCCCAAATTTGAACCTTTAATCTGCCATATCAGAACCTTTAGCGCGCCATATCAAAAACGCAATATTTTATTTAAAGTCTGTTTCCAGTGCTTTACAAATGAACTTTTTTTATCACTGCTGATAATATAGATATAATAGACGATTACTCAAGATTTCTTAAGGGAAAATAAAATTTAATAAATACAAGTAGAATACAGTGAAAAACATACAAAAATAAAATATGCCCAGCGTTGACGTCGCGTTATCCAACTCCAACGTTCGCCGCACTGTGTGACCAAGTACTGTCCATAAGTCGAATTTATATCCTTTTAGTATTGATGTGAACTATTTCATTAAACATTGTTTTGTCATAATCAAAAAAAGAGTAGGATATTTCAATGTAATAAAAAATAATCAAGCCACATTAAAAATTAAATATTTAAGGAAATTCAACTTCAGAGTTTATATACTCTTGAGCCTAAATTTTGTAAGCTTATTAAAAACAAATTTGTTATCATACATACTATTTTTTTATTACATTTATGAACTATCCAGTTAAAACATGGTTGCCTAATTTTAATATGATTTAATATGATGAATAAGTTTATAGTAACTTATAAGTTTTATGCTTGTTTGTGCGTGAATTTTTTTTTTGTCAAATTTTATTCTCAAAGGCATACTTTATTGCCACATATAAATTTTTATTTCTCCAAGTAATAATAAATTGTACAAAAACAAAATTGGCAAAATTATTGTGCCTTTTGTGTGAACAAATTTTTGTTATTCAATATGTGTAAAATGGTATAGTTTATTATGTTGTGAACAAAAAACAAGAAACTGACAGCATTAAACCGTACGTAAAAATTTACAAAAATTATTGTGGTCTTCTGGATGGGTGAACGAAATTTTGTATTCAATATGTGTCAAATGGTATATTGTATTCAAATTATTTAATATGTTTATAAATTATTTTAATAAACATTGGTAATTGTTAAAATTTCAAGAAAAATAATTATTATTTTTCTTGAAATTTTAACACCCTGTACTTCATAAACTATTCAACTATCAATAAATGTTTATAGGACCAAAAGTCTTTTTTTAAATCTATTTCTGAATACATTTTAGCGATTTTCGTATTTTTTCTTTTTGGCGCCATTTTGATTCCACCATTTTTTTCAAAAATATAATTTCAACATTAATTTTTTCATCTGGGCACATAGTGCGGCCCTCCCCCCAACTTTCTTAATTGTTTATGTTATCATATTTATAAACGGTAAAAGTCCAAAATCGGTATATGAGCACTAGACTGGGCCAAAAAAATTTTTTTTTTGAAAAGTATATCGTAAATATGGTTTGGGGTGACAAAAAAAATTAATGTGAAAGTTTTTGTCCATAATATTAATATTACTGTAAGAGGTCTATCATCGCAATTTAATTTTTTTTTCTTCAGCAATTTTTTATTTCAGAACTCCCAAAGTATTGAGTTTAAAAAATTGACTCGGAAATATTTTTTTAAGAAAATTAAATGCTCTACAAAAAAGGTTAAAATGAAATTTTCCGTCAGATGAACCGTTTCCTTAAAATCATGCCTTAAAAATTGGTATAGTTTTACATTTTGATCTTTTAACTTTGGAATTTTGTAATTCATGTAAAAATCAGTACCCAGAAAAAAACCGATGAATATTCTTATGGAAAATTAAATGCTTTACAAAAAAAGCCTCCTAACATTTTTGGCTTCATTCACTCAATCAAAAGTTATTCAAGGTTAAAGTTGAAGTCAAAACGAAATTCTTGTTTTTTCCTCTGTAGATTTTTTTTGGGAGTTCTGAGATCTCTTAATATTAATATTATGGACTCAAATTTTCACCATAATTTTTTTTTGTCACCCCAAACAATATTTTCGATTTTTTTGGCCCAGTCTAATGAGCACAGTTTAAACAGTGTAGAATAGTCGTTTACGCCACAAAGCTCAAAAATGTAATTAAATAAAAAATGTCTTTGTTGAAAAGTGTTTTACTATTTTAAAACAGGTTGACATTTTTTCTTAGGTTCGTACGTTTTATCCACCATGACGAGATCCTTGCCCCCCTCGCCGCAGCGAACTCCTAGCCGTAAGCAGTCGCTGGTCACGATAAACCCGTTCGCCATGTGTCCGGCAGTGTTGGACGACGTGCAGAAAAATCCGGGCGAAGCGTCGGACAGCGTGAACAAGTTGCTCGAACAAGTGATGCAGTGTCCGCCGGACGAAACCCTGATGGACGTTGCCAAAGAATCCGGTCGGAATCTCTACGCCAACATGACACACGATGAGAGAGTGGAAAAGATAAATCTAATGGTAAGAATAATTGTATAGCCTGATAAAACTTTAAAATTAACTGTGATTCTAAATTTGCAATATTTACGAGGTGCGTTAAAAAACTAAAGTAATTTTCCGTTTTTCTTGGCTCGTGTTGGTTGTCTGTTTTCCGCCATTTTTTTGTTATATTGCCAAAAATATGAAATTCTGTATTTTTAGCCCTATTGGATGTTTAGTCTGTTAACTGTGCAAAATATTGTATTCCTACACGGAGAAAAAATACCGCTCTGGTCGCTGTCCGCACCGCGCTAGTTACTTCGTGAACGAAAAAGTATAAAAAACAGCTAAGGTTGCTATGCGGACAGTAAAGATTTAGTTTTGCACAGTAATCCGTAAAGTTTCCGACAGCGAACGATAAACCGTAAACATTACTGTGCGGATAGCGATCTAGAACTGCGGTGATCGCTATCAAGACATATCGCATCGCAGTCTTTTTTGTCGTGGAATTACTACGTTGATTTTTTCAGCTGGGTTCTACGCTTAATTTTAAAATTTTACGACTTTGTGGTTAAAAATAAAAACGATAATATTATTGTATTTGTTGGTTTGACAGTGTGAATAAAATACGGACTGGTTTGTTATCGAACTAAACGATTTATTTTTATAACTTATTTACAAAAAAAATTATAAAAATCTATAAAACTAACAAATCACTTAACTACTATTTATATTTTTACTATTGTACAAAATTCTATTTATTTCCACGTACATTTAATTTATTTCGTCGCGAGTACCAAATCTTCGATAGGCCTAATACTGTACTTTCATTTTACATGTAGACAGGCCGCATTCGGTTTTTAAGGCCCAGTTGTATAACAGTTGGTTAACAGCTGATTAGCTGATTAACTCTTGAATTTAATTTAATTTAATGTTTAGCGGTGCTCCGTTACTGACAAAGTGTACTACACTTAGTTATTATCTAAGTGTGGTACACTTTGTCTGTCACGGAGCACCGCTAAACATTAAATTAAATTAAATTTAAGAGTTAATCAGCTAATCAGCTGTTAACCAACTGTTATACAACTGGGCCTTAGAGTGGAAGAATAATTTTTAGACTAGGAGACGCCATGGGACGGTTTTCATAATTCAGCAGTAGACCCTTCACCGGCGTTGGGTGATAGTCGAAGTTTGCTCTGGAATATTAATACAAATTACGCATTATTAAGTTAATTTACTTTTAAAAATGATTCAGATACTTAAAATGTAACGTAATCACTTGTAACAGTAAATTATTAATTAAAGGTGTAAAATCATTATTTGTTTTGCATATAACTAAAACTTTTAAACATAAAAACTAAAATAAAAAAATAAAATATATCTCTTGAAAACAAATTAAAATAAATAAATCAATTCTCTTAAAACAAAACTGAAAATCAAACTTCTTAAAATAAATGTAAATAAATAAATTAATTAATAAAAATAATTAATTATTATTTGAACACAAGCTTTGAATAATTTATTCAAAGCTTATGTTCAAACGTTCTCCGTAATTGCTTCAAACAATGCAATGTGTAGGACATTATAATTTGATATAAAAGAAATTAATTTATGTTAAAACGCTCGATACACTAGCAAATGCAAAACATAACTGAATCGCTAAAAAACCCGCCCCTCTTGTTCGAGTTCACTCGGGTTTACTCGAGTGTATATATTTCAAAAGAAAATACGGTATATTCAGGGCGTGAGCGGCAGCACGCTTGCCTTTTTCTATCCTTCCATGTTCTACACCGCTCTTCATCGTTCGGGAATCCCCCGCTGTAAACAAGCGATGACTCATCGCCGATGAGCCAATAACTTTGATTCGTAAACGTAATTTGTCTTATGATTTTGAGATGTAATCATTTACTTTTGGTGCAAATTTTCTGATATACTTGATATTTTCATTAGTTAGGTACTTATGTCTTTAATATTAATAATTTTCGGGGTAATACAAACGAGTGCATAAAAATTACGGATAATTTTCATGAAGGCGCAGTTTTTTAATTCCACGAGTTCGAAGAACGAATTGCATTTGTACAAGCTTCAAGCTTGAAGCTTGAATAAAAATTATCTGGTTCAAGCGGTATTTAGGGAGAATATTTCTCGGTTTAAAATAAATATTAAAAATACAAAAAATTGTAAATTTATTGTAACAAAATTAACAAAAATATAACTATCTAATTATATTGCTATAGTAAGGGAGCATCCATTAATTATGTGATGCATTTTTCTAATAATTTGGACCCCCCTCCCCCTTGGTGAGATGTGGTAGACCCCTATCGCTCACGAAAGATTCTAGCCATTAAACTTTCTTTGCGGACATGATAAACACAAAAAAGTAAAAAAAAAATTGATTAATTTTTTTAACAAATTTGAATTACTAGATTTTGCTAGATTTGGCAATATTGAAGTGCGTTCGAAATGAAAGTGTGCTTGGATAGGTCCTTTACATTATACCTGACGCATGAACACCGCGGAGCATATACCTACAAACTTTATGTTGTATTGTTTTAAAACCAAATGGTTTAGCTTGTTATTTGACTAAATAAGTATAAGTATATGTATGTAGGTATAGCTGGCCCCATCAGGTCTCCCAGAGAAATTTTCCCCCTCTCAGTTCTCCTACGTATCACGCAACTGCACAGCATTGCCTGTGTTTGTTGAATACAAAGTTTCACCCTTGGGAGATCGTGGACGACAGTGTCGATGGTTAAGACCCCTCCCGGAATTTTGTCGCCATAGTATTAATATGAAGTCTTTCTATAACTACCCTCAGTGGCGTATTTAGGATTTAGCTCCGGGGGGGGTCCAAAAAAACTAACTGAATATGTACTATGCTATGCTTTAATAATGAATGGATAGCGCGTGCGTGAAAAAAAGCGGCATCTTTTTCTTTATTATAATAAGAAAAGAGACGCAACTCTTTTTCACGCACGCGCTATCTATTCATGGTATAGTTCTATTTCTGTTCGCGCCTCGATCATAACGACCACAGATAACGACACGAGAAAGAGGTAGGAACGATATACCTACAGGGTTGCCAAACCACCTCTTTCTCTTTAATACGTAAGTAGTTGATTTTAATGATTTTATATTTAAATATAATTAATAAATAATAAAGTACGTTGACAGCCTTGAGGTTTTTATTTTTTTTTAAACTTTTTTTTGTAATAAAAATAATAAAATATGTGCGCCCGGGGGGGGGTCCGGACCCGGCGGACCCCCCCCCTAAATACGCCACTGACTACCCTTAACTTAAAAGTAAACAATTAATATGCACTTAAACTTTCTGATTGTTGTTAAAATAATGTAATAATTATTTTTAATAATAATACATCATTTCGTGTGCATATTGAGCTCACATCATGAAAATCTTCATGTGATTTCGGAAAGAAAATCACGGGACAACTAATTTAATTGCATCGGAAAACGAATAGCAAATGATGCTTTGTCACCTTTAATTTATAGAATTTTTAAAATTTGAGTAAAATAAGAATAATGGAAATGTCGCGATCCTATTGGCTTGCCAAAAAGTATATCTCGTTGAGTTTTAAAAATTTCAAAATGGTCAAGAGAAATCCTAATAAGGAGTTACTTTAAAAATATTTTTGTATTTCATTTTTTTTACCTGTTTTTATTTTTGGTCAATTTTTGAGTTTGTATTTTGTAATTATAATTGAGGAGCATCCGTGCAAAACCAGCTATATCCTTTTAATAAAATGTTGAGAAAATGGCAAAACTTCACGTTTTGCCTTTACAGATAAATACATGCATCTTGAGTTTTGTGCCCACAAAACTTAATTAAGGTGCATCTGTAAAGGCCAGTAAACGGGAAGTTTTTGCCATTTCCCCAACATTTTATTAAAATGGATATAGCCGGTTTTGCACGGATGCTCCTCAATTATATATTAGATAATTCAGTCATGACTTATTTTAACCCTGCTGATTTTATCAAAGCGCGTCTGTGGGAATAAAGTTAGTATATAGTAACTTTTCCGCAGTCGACATAAAACTTTCCAAAATTTTCCGGCTATCAAACCTTGATTTGAAAATTTCCGAAAATTCTTTATTTATGCAACAACTGTTTTTTTACTTTAATATTGGATAGGTATATCTAAGTGTGTCTGTAAATTACTACTAAATATTTATAAAATGGAACTTTTCCTATAAAATATTTCATTTTATGTGCATGCGCATCTCTGATTTGATACCCTCGAATGAATAATTTATTATTTAGATGGCTGAATTAAAGAAAACCCTGGACGAAGTCACTACAGAACACATGGAGCTATCGAGAAGAATGGGCGTGGAAGAGTCGGAAGTTGAAAAAGCCAAAATAGCATTTTTGATGGGCCAAGCAGACGCCAAAGTGCACGGCCTATCTGTACTCATGCTGCACTACTGTTCCAGTTTGCAACATTCTCAAGAAAAAATTGTCTAGGTTTTTATGTTTTTTTTACAGAAGTGACATTATTATGCAGGATCTAGAAATCGACTGATTTGTCTACATTGGACTCCCTGTATAATATTTTTAATTAGGTAAAACTTCCTTACAGATATAATTTTACACGCCAAAGGTATTAATATTATTAATAATTTATTATCAGTATAAAGAGTTACTATATTTTAATCTTGGACCTAAATAAATGGCCTAAGTTGTTGATGTGTTGTGTTAATAATGGAAGAGACATTAGGGGTGGATTTCTGGGGTCAAAATATGACGATTTAATCCAAAATGTTTTTATTGTGTTTAACTTATTTTTAATGTTTTTTGCAATCCCATTAAATATTGTTTAAATTTCCTCTCTTGCAATCCCATTAAATATTGTTTAAATTTCCTCTCCATAAATACATTTTTGGCATGTACATTACATGCTGTCAAAAATTGTTTTGCTTTAGTTGTTTAAATTTAGTATCTACATTTACAACTTTTTGGTAACAACTTAAAAAGTGAGGATATAATTTTAAAGTGTTTAACTATATATAGAGGGCACCATAATAGTGCCCTCTATACCAAAAATATTTAATTGTTATTTCTTGTCCTTAAGTATATATATATATATAAGTATACCCTATAATATAGGGCCTACAAGGTAAAATCGTCATATTTTGTCCCTAGAAATCTACCCTTGATGCCTATCCTATTACTAACGATATTTTCTATGGCCTAAACTTTATTTACTATTTACAACCTGTTTTTATTAGCTGAGATTGTTTATTGCAAGTATTTTTATCATAAAATATGTTAATTTATTAAAAAGTAATTGTGATAGATTTGAGCTTATACACATCTTTATTGAAGATGCATCAAAACGCAGGTTTATCTTTTTTGAAAAATGTTTTGCCTGTCCAAAAAATTTAAAAAAAATTGTTTTGCGAATGCACGCATTTTGATACTAAAATATATTCAACTGCACTTATTAGCTTTAGATACTTAAATGTTCTTAGTTTTAACGTAAGGAAAAATGCACTGACAAATGTAGATACGAGCACAATAATTTTAACAGTATTAAGGTACTTAAATTAAAAGTAACACACAGAATTTTAACTAGATTTTCGAAAATATTTCCATTGAATGAAAAAAAAGATTTATTAAATAATAATGCTTGTCAGATTTATTTTTGTTTTATTACACATTTCATAGCTACTTAATTTGTTTATATGATTTGACTATACATTTTGCACTTTTAATTATTTACACAGGGTGCACCAAGTATCCTTCTATGTATGGGTATCTTTTTTATTTAAAAAGCTACAAGGTTGGTTAAATTGGAGAAAAGTTGCTTACAAGCGAGGGGTAAACCACTGATTTTATTAAATTAAAAATCGACTACGAATTAACGCCTAAGGTTGGTTTTGACAGGTTTTTAGTTTTCAAATATTTTGGGAACTTTTCACTTGTGTGTGGAATTTTATCAAAATTGTCAGTATCTAAGGAGTTTTATGTTGAGGTGTAAAAAACATTATACCTATCTTCTTTTAAACACTCTGGTGGAGGTGCAGATTAATAAATTTAATTTTTTCCACAATTTTGACAAAAAGTAAAATAGTATTTATAAATAACTCATGTCATAAACCATGACGTCTTTAATTAGTTTTCGTATAATATAAAATCGCTGTAAAAGTGATAAAACCACTAATTGTGTTGAATAATCATTTTAAAATTTGCTATAATATACTTTTTTACTTTAAAGTGCCTAATATTATTTTGTTCTTATTGCTACTTAGATCTAAAAACCATGCATTTTTTTCTCATAAACTTTAAAACAATTCTTAAGGAATAAAACATATCCAAAAGCACGTGTATCGTGTAAAAAATGTGCCAATTAAAAAAATTACTGAAAAATTGATATTCTGTGTGTACCATGTTAATATAATCTTTATAAAATCATTTTACAGCAGGGTCATTCCACGGAATACTTTTGTACTAGCCATGACAATTTAAAATTCTACGAAATATTTTAAAATTAATTTAATTCTGTTAAGATCCTTTTTAACTTTTAACTTGTGGCAGTTGGGACAGGTGTCCATAGAATGACCCAGTAGTAAAAATCTAGTCATTATGTTTTATTTAAAAACTTGTATTTCAAAGGTAGTGGTAAAGTTAAGATATATTGTGATAAGTATTGTTTATTGTTAATTTCTAGTGCAATTAAACTAGGTATTTATTTATAAAAATGTTTACATTTATTTGAAGGTATTTTATTTTATATTAAATGTTTTCGACTATAACGGTTTTTGCTTTTATTTCATCATCCATTTACTTAGGTAAGTAGGTCTATACTTATAAGTATAGACCTACATAGTACATAAGTATAGACCTACCTTAAGTAGTCTATCTATTAGAATCTAATAAAAACGTTTATCTAAAAGGAACCAAGCTTTTCCTTTCTATTTCTTGTAAATTTTATTTATACAAAAATGTAAATGGTGATATACACTTGTCCAATATTTATACAATATCTGTTTTAAATGTATTGTAATGTATGATTGCTTTTGACGTATTCTATCCTTATCATGTATTTGGTCTTTTGAATAAATAAATATCTAAATCTATCTAAGCTCCAAAAAGTTTTTCTGGGTTAACAAAATTATTTGCAAAATGCTGTTAAAAAAATTAATGATTTGAGAAAAGTTCCAAATGATGATCAACCTTTAGAGCATTACTTATTAAAAATGATTTTACTAAGCGCAGAAAAAGTTTTTTTTAAGACCACTATGTAAAAGTCAATTTTTTGTAATGGCATCGTTGCTTAGAAAATGAATCTTTTCATTGGCAAGGCAAAACTCGAATATAAAGTGACATTTCTGTATGAAAAGTGAGAGGTCTGTGAGACAAGAAATTGACAGCATCGTTTGACATTTGTATTGTATTTGTATATGTATGTCTAAATATCATTTAGAACATAATTAATTGTGTTTGTATAATAAATTCTAATTTTTGGGGCCTTCCCAGTAAGCACAAGCTAGCCGGCCCCCCAGATAGCACAAAGAACCCAGATAGCAAAATGAATTCACTATGAATTCACTACGAATTCACGCGTGAAAATTAAATTCACGCGTGAATTCATATAACGCGACAGATGAGTCCTCAATTGATGCTCAATTTGCCATCACGCGTGAACTTTTTATTTTTTGCGCGTGCGCTTTTAGAATATGGATTTCATTTTTCAAAATAATTTAATCTGTCGAAATATTTATTTTAACATCTTAAAAAAATACACAAAAACTTGGTTTAAAAGGCCATAATTGAGAAGCAATCAGACTAAACCAGATAAATCCATTTCGACTTTTTGAATGGTTCCTATTTCTTTTGTTCAGATAAATCCATTGGAAATATCTATTTCAAGCTAAACTTGTTATCATAATATGATATGATCATAATATTAATATTAATATTATATAATTATTATTATATATATATACTAATATTAATATTAGTATATAATATATATATTATTATAATAAGTTTATCTTGAAATTCACTTTTCCAATTGATTTATCCGACTAAAAGAAATATGAATCATTCAGTCAAAATGGATTTATCTGGTTTTGGTTGATTGCTCCTCAATTATAGGTTATACATTACAATTATAACCTTAATTAAGGTTAACTAATTAATTAATTAATATATAATATACATATATTAATTATTATTGTACCTATAACATATAATTGTGACCTTTTAAACCAATATATATTATGTAATTATATGTATTACTATAATATATATAGTTATAATAATATATATCAGTGGCGGATTGGGGATTTTGGGTATACCAATATCTCACTTATTAGACGTGGGACCCACTCCAAATTTATAATAGTTTATAATGACATTAAATAGACAAGTTCTGCGCAAACAGAATTTAAATTAAAGTTTGCGAAAAAAAGTTAGTTTTTTGTGTCGCCTTACCTGGCTTCTGGCCCCCCCCATTTGGGATAATTCAAATTAAAGTGGTGCAATTTATACTCCACTATAATTTATCGACAAATTTAAAATTTTATTTAAAAAATATAAATATTACAGATTTTATACGATTTTAAATTTTTATTATTTATTTTATTATAATAAAAAAATATTTAATATGGTATAAAATCTGTAATATTTGGATTTTTCAAATAAAATTTCAGGTAATATTTTGATATTAGAATATTAATATTCTATTTATATTTAAACGTGCAGTTTTTAATCATGCAATCCATGTATTTTAAAATAAAATCGATTAAATCACACGAGACTATAATATGAATTCATAATCTACTCACGTGTGAATTACAAGTTCAAGACTTCACGTGTGAAATCATATAGCACACATTATTCACTCACGCGTGATTTCGTATTTACGTTTGCTATCTGGGAAGTACTGTAAACGTCCTGAGTATACCTTGTATCAGACATTAGTAAGTCCCGAGTACGTCCGAATCAGGTCCTGAACCTTCCCCAGGACGTACCAGGGACATCCGATGTTACCAAATCGTCGGTCCCCAGAACGTCCTAAGTAATCTTAAGATATCCTCTGGCCGTTCTGAAATACTTTATTGGGGATTATTGCATGGACAAGCTCTACAGAATTGAAGAGTGGTATTCCCCAAGGGTATACCCTTGGTATAGACGTCTAAGTGACAAAAATAAAATTGTAAGTTATCAATGAAAAACAAATATTTTGAACATATATATTTAAAAATGTTGGAATATTTTTTAAGTCATTCTGCATGACAAACTATTTTTAAATGATAATATATATTATTTAGCCAACTTGACACTTAGACCATGGTTTAAATGCTAAAAAAAAAACAAAAATTACGTCCTTGGGACGTCCGAGTATATCCGCTTTAATTTTCCCAAATAAGTAAGAGACTGGACGTAACCCAAAACTTCCAATATAGGTCTGGGACGTTCGGACCTATGTGGGACCCGAAATGGACGTCCTGGGTACCTCTTGTGCTATCTGGGTTTTGCCACAGCAGGCCGTATTCCAGCCGCGTCTAGGGCAAGCCGAAGGATTTTGCAGCGGCATGCCGTATTCTGGCCGACTTCGGTTAGAACATGGCTAAACGGTACCGGGGTAACATAACGCGGCCGTAAGCGGGCCGGCTGGGGCAAGCAGAACCGCCGGTCAACCGCCTATGCCGAGCGAAGGCCGACTTTTGCCGAGTGTTTGGTGCCCACTGGGAATTTATTAAAATTGAGAAAGGTAAGTTTATTGATTTTAATTAAGTTATACCTACCTTAAGGTAGGTATAAGTTAATTAAAATCAATAAACTTACCTTTCTCAATTTTAATAAATTTTTAATTAAA